AAAACCACTAGACAGACAGACAGACAGACAGACAGACAGACAGACACACAATCTCCCCAGCTAGAAAACACAAGCACTCCCTCAAGAATCTCTCGGCGAGCCAGAAAATACTACCTCTTTAGCATCTCTAGCATCTTTACTTTAGCCTAGGAAGCTCAAAGGCCATGGTCATGTCATGTAACTAGCTCATCACAATACAAGTCTGCCGCTCTCTCCCCATTCTCGAACGGATCACCAAGTGAGAAAGACACCTCTCCTTCTCTAGCACCCTTCCAAAAATACCTCCAGCCAGCCAGCCAGACACCTACCTCTCTACCTCTCCATCCCTTTACCCCCCCCCTTCCTCCTTCCCAACCACCCATCCAAGCAAGCAAGCAAGTAAACAAGCAAGTAAACAAGCAAGCAAGTAAACAAGCAAGTAAACAAACAAACCCCAGCTCTCAAAGAAAGAAAGAAAGAAAGCCAAAGCCAGCCCGTCTGAAACGTAGAGGATTCGTCTTCTTTCCCTCTCTCTCTACCCACCCATCTCAATACAAGGAAGAGAAGGGAGAGCAAGCGAGAGAAAAAAAAGAAAAAAAAAAGACTAGTCGAATAGGGACCCATTGCGGTTTTTCGATTCTTGAGAGCGAGGCAGAGACACAAGCAGAGACACAAGCAGAGGCACAAGCACAAGCACAAGCACTGGAGATCTCACTCAGAAAGGAGAGGGAAACAGGCCTGCGAGACTTTCTCTCGAGCCGAGATGAACTTCCCCTTGATACCGCAGAGGTTTTGTTTCCCTGTCCAATTAATCCACTCACTGTGCCTCCAACAAGTTTTTTTTTTGCACCTTACGAAAACGAGACGCACCAGTAGTCACCCAAGTTCGATGAGTTCAGATCAGTCAAGCCAATTTTATTTCTTTTCCGCAGCCAAATCCCCGAATAGCCTAAAGTAACAATCATACACGTACACGGCCTCCTACCGAGCCCATTAAACCGTACAAAAGTGGTATCTCCCTCAACAACGCCCGTGACTCCCCCCCCCTCATACCCATGGTCTCCGCTGCGGGTTACGCCCGTAGTCGAGGAGTTCGATGCGGTCCTGTGGAATAAATTAACTCCAATCCGATTGTTTTGCGTGTCCATAGCTGGTCTCGTCAATACGCACATCATTCGCCACGCTGATTCTCTGTACGCCCGCCCCGGCCTCCAGACCCGTAGCAGTCTGCCTTACAGCCTCGGACCGTGGCTCCCTGTCTCCTGCGTAGTTTCCTACCCCGACACCAGCCCAGAAAGCTCTGTCTCTCGATCGGGGTCCCCAACTCCAACCGGCGCCTTGGTTAATGGGAAGGTGATAGTAGCGGAATGCGAACAAGGAAGTGATGGCTCCGAGCAGGAATCCGAAGGAAAGGTCGAAGCCGTCATGGCGGAAGTCCGAGTATCGAGAAGCGGTAATGTAGACGGATGCGAAGAAAGGTATGACCACAATCACCAAGAGGTAGATCGGAGGTGCAGCGGCCTGGTTCCGTGCTGCGATGATCTTCTCGTCGTGTCCAGAAGGGATTTCCGGCGCGTGTTCTCCAGACAGAGCCCTGTCCCGACCTCCTATGCCATCCACTGCTCTCTTTTCTGTGCGGGATGGGAAGGCAGATAGTCGAGTGGCATCGGAGCCAGCTGCGAGGAATGGAATGGTAATGGCCAATTTGGACGCGAGGAAGAGACTCAGGTAGACAAGTCCACCGGATGCGAAAGAAGCGTGGCCACTGGGGAAAGATCGGAACCCATCGTCCAGCTTCGAGCTGTCGGTCTGCGTACAAATCCCGGCAGAGACCACATTGAAGTTCGCGAAACTGTTTCCGGCGCCCCATACCGAGTAAGAGTATTCCGAGAGGTTGGGAATGTCCGGCTGGCAGCGATCAAGTAGATCCGGACGGGGCTTGCCAAACAAGTTCTTCATCCCGCTCGTAATGAGGAAAGCCGCGGCCTGCGAGAGAGCGAGGCCCAGCCAGCCTGTGTGCCATTCCCATAGCTTTCGTTGGAAGATCAATTGCTTCGGGGTCGATTTTGGCACGGTAGGGCCTGGGACGAGAAGGGCGCAGATGATGAAGATGATGGCGGCTGGAGCGACCAAGGCCACGAGGCCAAGTAGAGGGACGGAGACCGTCTCTTCGACATGAGGGAACGAGATTCCAGGGTTGGTGAGGGAGAACGGCCGTTTATTCGGAGTGATAATCGCAAAGATAGCTCCCACGATCACGATCAGGAAGATTAGGATCCAGTCGACGACATAGGAGAAGATCAACAGCTTAGAGAGACGGGCGCTGCGGACGACCGACATGATGCTGTTGTCGCTGTTCATGATGCTTTCGTACCGTTATCCTGTCGAAGAAGAGAGTGGAAGTTCGCTCTCGTCTTCTTTAAAGGAAAAGGAAGGGAAGGGAAGGGGGTGAAGTGACGTAGAGAGCTTGCCTGTGCCTTTTGCCCTCTGCCCTCTGGCTTTGGCTTGGAGCTGGACGTGGACTTGGACGTGGACGTGGACGTGGCCTCGGAGTTGGACTGTTGTGGTTTGCTGTCTAACTGTCTACCTGATTGTACCGGTAGGTGAGACAATGATGCATTGCTGCATGTTTTTCTTGGGTGGTCTTGGGGTTTTGGATCGAAGGCGGTGCAGCCGGTGCTCAGATAAAGTGATCATATCATGATTTGCTGCCTAGATACCTCTCCTCGGCCAAGCAACTCTATGGAGCCCGGATCCTCGAGTAATAACCACGAGAGGGCATAAGACATGCAACGACGACGACGACAATGATGATATCTATTCTTGTTTACACGTATCTTACTACTGGTACTGTAGTTGTAGCTGTACAAGGTCATCTTCATCCCAAGTCGGACTCGGGAATATTTAAGATCCGGCACCTGGCAGATCGGCGCGGGATGTTTACTTGAAGTATGTTTGATCTGGACTGGGATAGGTGGATAAGGTGGCACGTTTCGGTTCTATTTTAAGAGACGAACCCTAATTCTTCCCTTCCTGTCATCTATTTTCTCTCTCTCTCTGTCCTCTTCTCTCCTTCCAGAATTGTTATTCAAAGACGCACGATAACCGCTGCTGCTGCCACCGTCAGGCTCAACATGGGGGCTTTGATACTTGGCAGGAGGATGAGGAGGATGAGGATGAGGATGATTGGGAGACGGCCGTTGCGGAGGCTTTGAAGGATGGGCATACCTACCTACGCATATCGATAGGAAGCTGCAGCTAGTTATTAGTCGCATTCCGCCACACGTAAGCCCGTCGAGAACTCCGGCATCGACCGGCTCCTACAGTACCGGTACAGTAGTCCTGGAACAAGCCGCCATCGACTGGTGGTCCCTCAAAGATCGGGGAGTGATTGAGGGCATCGGCAAGGAGCTTCGATTCGAGGGGGTAGGTACCGGTAGCTCATCAATTGTTCGCTACAGTAGAGTTCATCCATAGTTCTCCTGCCCCCTGCTACGATTCAAAGAACGACCGAGGAAGCCAAATTAGCGGCAACGCTTTTTAGACGAATTTGATAACGGAAGGTAGATACGGAGATATAAATATCATTCTATACTCTATATAGCATTAGAATATACCACGGTACAGGCCTAAGTATTACCCCTCGAGGGTGCCTTAAAAATTAAGTTTCCACTTTAAGCCCCCTGGTTACCCTACCCTCAAGGGGTAATACCGGTACTTACGCCTGGGACGTAGTAATAGATAGAGGCTTAGAAAGCAAGGTCACACTGATTTCCATTCAACTGTATAATAAAGGCAATGGATTCGTGTGCCAGGTTAGATACCTATTGCCCAGACGCTCCTCGCTTAGCCGTCTAAAGCAAAGAAGGACGTTCTAGCAGGCAATACAGGTGCTTCTCTACGCTTTTTCTTGGAGCACTCCAGAAGTAGAGAGGGATGCCATCTTCGAGAAGTTTCGCAGTGGCATTCCCCAGCGCCTCTCTGATTTCTTTCTCTCTCAGGCTCTAACTAAATCGTATCCACGCTTCTCCCTAATTCGCTGTCAATCCTCAATCGCCACAGAAGACGCGGAAGACTTTTCTGGATGAACATGTATGTGAGGATACAGACAGATCACATCGGACGGAATCGAAACAGCCGAAAAAGCCCTATTAAATCGAGTCTGAAGATACGGCATGCGAGAAGCCCCCCCCCTTCCTGCCCTCGCTGAAGTGCCACTATCCCCAGCAAACATTCGTGAAGGGCAGAGAGAGCAATTGTCGAATTCCGGCAGCGGTTTTGTCTTCGATTTTCTTCTTCCCGATGATATTCGTCGACTTGGATCTTCAAGGCATCTACTAATACTAACCCATCCTGACATCTACAACCACAAAATCCGGCCACGAATTCCGTGATACTACAGTCCCTAATCCAGTAGCTCGCTTAACCAGGATTTGACGACACGGTGGAAAACCCACAACTTACAAAATACACATTGAAAACACCACTACACATAAGCCTCCAGGGGATAATCGTCGGCTAGCTTAGATGGGCCTCCTTTCATCCTTTCAGTCCTCGCTGACGATTAGTTATCCCCCCCCCCTCAGAGCGAGGACTTGCTAGTCAGTATCCAAGAATATATATATGCAATCCAAATAAGTAACTCTTGGACGGAAAGGGGCTGGCTTGACATCCAAGAATCAAAACCAGAGGCCTGGCCATTTTCTATTCTGTTCTCTAGTTTAGCTTGCCTCTTTCTCAATCTTTCGTCTCGCAGGTATACATACATACATACATACATACAATACAATACATTCTCCCATTCTCACTTCTCACTTCTCACTTCTCACTTCTCACTTCTCACTTCTCACTTCTCACATCTCACCACGCAAGAACCCGGGTGCGATCTGACGCATCTACACCCATATCCATCACATCGACAAACCCACTCCATTCCAGTCGTGGTTTTCTCGAGCGTGAGCGCGATCGATGAGGTCTGTCTGTTTAGGTTCCGAGGTGATCGCACGCACGCACGCACGCACGCATGCATCGCATCTCTCCGTACGATCCTACTAACTTGGTGAGCCTAGTTAGCTAGCTAGCTACGATTCAGCCCGAATGGAAGACAACGCCGCACGCACGCTCGCGACTGGCTTCCGAATAAGTAACGCGTCGAGTGCGCAAGTAGCTCATCATGAGTATCATCCAGATCCACGCCCATCCCATCCCCCATCCCATCCCCTCCTGAATCAATGTCTTCTTTGGCCAGTTGCTAGTTGCCCTCGTGTGGCGCACTACTCAACCCGTGCCCCTTCTGGCATTTCAATTCGCAAATCCTTCATTTGCAGCGTCGGCACCGAGTAACAGAGTAGACAATCATTTCGTGCTCGGTACATGGAAGAACTCCAGCTGGCAATGATAATCCGATTGGATACTTAACAGTTCTGCTGTTCCAGCCGAGATCGCGTATGCATACACCTCTAAGTAAGGTCTTCTGTCGGGATTTGAGCCGCTTGGACAGAACCTGTTGACTACCTGGACCTTCGAATCAGCGCTGCGGAAGTTGAGAGCCCAGGACCCCTTAAAGGGAACAGCAACACCGAGAATGCTCGAAATCTCTTCATGGGAAGACGGAGGACTAGTTTGACGTTATGAAAAGTGGAATTGAATGATTCTCAACAATATTTTCTATGCGAGCCTATCCAGGCCCGCCGACTTCGCTGCGCCATATGTCCATCAAGTCCAACGCCGACACATGCTGATACCCACCTCCCTAAAACATCCATCAAGAAGCAAACCGTACCTTCGTAGTCATAGCCAAGCACCTCCGTCATGCAATGCTGTCTGACAATTATATCTGATTGTTCTGCACGTCCCTTCCTTGCTGCTCTCCATTTCCCAGCAATGCATCCATTCCGATCTCCTCTTCATCTTCGTCTTCCTCTGAATCCTCCGCCTCAACCTCTCCCTCATCATCCTTGAACCCGCTGTCAATCTCGAGCTTCCTGAGGCGCTTCCGCATATCATCCCTTAGTCCTCCTTGCCATCTAATCAACGTTGCTGGAGCATGCACTCTGAAGCCGTAGATACGAGGAATATATCTGTCGGCGGTCTTCGGTGGGATTAATGCGGGGTAGACTTGGAAGATAATATTGTGGAAGGATGTGCCGAAGTATGCACCGTCGATGGCGGAATGGCGGGAGGATTTCGGGTTGTAGATGTCTTCGCATTTGGCGCAGTAAAGCTTCACTGCCTTTACATTGGGGTTGTCCGATTGCCCCATGGGAAGCAGGGGGTGTGATTTGCACATAACTCGTGGGCATTTGCCGAAGTCCGCCTTCTTGTACTTCTCAAGCTGAATTTTCAATCAATATGGCTTCAGAGTGTGCCAAGATTGCCTGTCTACATACCATCTTCGCCAACCCTCTTGTGGTAACAATGTATCTGGCGTGCACAAGTCCATACAGATGCCTCGCCGACTTCTCGATCGTCTCCCGCATCTCATCGTCGCAGTCTAGGTCAAAGACATCTGTTACCAAGTCCAGAGCATATTGGTAGTACTGAACTTCGGTGTTGAGGCCCGTCAGATTGAATCGGTCGGTAAGGTAGTCTTCGTCGATTTCGCAGAAGTACTCGTTGCCACGGGAGGAAATGAACTACAGGCAATGTAGTTAGCAAGTCTCCTCCCCGTATGTGGTCCCAACAAGTACGAATTTAGAAAATGATCCATCACAATCCAAGCTGCTTGGACGCGTTGTCTCAGGGACTGCTCAAGGTCGCTACTACTGTCATCGAGATGTTCAGGCTCATCTGGACAGTGTCCCTATTGCCGTTGTCGCAGGTTACTCCAACATTATCCCCACCTGTCTCTGGGTAAAAAGGATCTGCTGAATGTCGAGGTTCACGATATCGCTAGTCCACCGTAAAGAGCAGCGGCCGGTTGCAATTTGAGGAGCCAGGGGCCAGATACGGGTTGAGTGATGAGAGTTATAGAATCTGCAGAGATTTGCTAGAAGATAAAGATCCAAGGGTGATAGATGCGCCAGATAAAGCTGAGGTCTGCGGTTCACCAAGGTTTTGGCACACTCGAAGCGGGGGGAGGCGCGTATGGCCTCCGATTTCGACCTGGGAGGTGATAGAGCTGGCCGTTTGTCGACACACAATGAGCATTCCCAGAGGCCCCTCCTGGTAGCCTGACTTCCGTCTACTCCTCCATGATCCCTCTGATATAGAAACGCGCGGCGCATAACAGAATGAAAGGAGGCTTACCCAATCTCTCCAGTAGCTTGTGTAGTCGCTATCCGTCTCGCTGTTGAAGTCGTCCATATTTGACGCAGCCTGTCAACATGTGCTCCAGAAGCACTTGCCAAAATTCAGGCAGCGATATCGTTGATTGAAGGGGAGTTTAAGGTGGTGGTCGAGACTTGGAGGCTGAAATTCATGCGTGGATTATGGAGGGGCAAAATAGGCTAGACTATTTAGGCTAGATGCCGACGCTAACGCCCCCTTTTCAAGATGATTCTACCCTACACCCACAACGTGTCTCAAGAAAAGCGTAACGCTTCTCACACATATAATACTTGATAACAGATTCGAAATAGAATTGCTAGATATATGGCGGGGGGGTTATCGACATGCGAATTTAATACGACCAAGAAGGGTATGACCAGGTTTTATTCTCCAGTCCGGCCTCCAAAACACCTTTCAATGCTGCGAATCCTAAGCCATCTACAAACACTATGAACAATATCGCGCCCTTTGCGAAAAATAATCCGAATTTTATTTGTCCGTCGGACTTCTGGAACTTCGATTCCCGCTGCTCTGCTCATCAAGATCACTATTACTACCCCCATTGGAGAGAGTAGGCAGCTTGCCTGGCCTTGGAACCTTCAGCCGCGATCCTTCAAACAGAAAGCTGCTGTGATGCTCCTCAGGGCTTCTGAGATTGACCATCTCCAAAGCCTCCCTCAACGTAGCCCCTGTCTCATCCAGAGCCATTAAAAATCGCGCAAGCTCCTTGCAGAGTTCCCAGTCTGCCTCGTCCTTGGCTCTTGACAACAGACGAACCAGTTGTTCTGAGCTAGAACTCAGTTCCTCAAAGGTGTGGAGGATGAGGAGGTATCCGCCGGCCGTCTTTAACGATCCTCGTTGTAAAGATTCTTCGAAGAGTTCTTGTGGGGGTGGTAAGTATGCGAACAGCGTTCGCCACGATCGTACTTCGGTCTTACGAGTACACTGGACAACAATATCAAGGTACTGTGAAAATGAAGAAAGGAATGAGAGAACACCTGGAAGAAGTGCGTTCTCGGGGCTAGGCGGCGTGTCAACTTCTTCGTCGAGGACGTTATGTAATAAGATCTCCAAAGAGTGGGCAAAATATTCTAGTCTTTGATATCGATGGGCGAGATGTAGGGCAGCTGAAGAGTCGAACCGAGATAGATGGAATCGAAGCACCTCTGGGATGAACAGTTGCGTCTGTGATCATAATTAGCCAGTAATTTATCGTGAAGAAAAAAATGCCGTACCCGGATTGGGAATCTAAAGAGAGCAAAATTCACATCGCGGCGCTGAATAAGCTCGGGTTCAGCACCCAGAAGTATGCCTTTCCCGAGCAGAACGGAAAGAGGGTAGAAGTCAACTGGAATCGACACAATAGGAGGTAGTTCTCGGCCTAGCTCGGAAGGCGCTGAACGAAGAACATCTTGGACGTCGGTCCACAACCTCATATCCTTACCGTCAAATACCCACAGAGAATCCCTCAAGCCATTGCCTTCATCTCGATCTAGGTTGTTACCAATAGAAACATTTGCTGTTCCTTGGATCTTCGTCGGGCTTGAAAGTGGCAAGTCCCGCATCAAGGTGTAATACTCAACATTCTGCGCAATCACTCGCATGTCGTACTTCAGCATTCCTTCTTCGTTCAGACTTGGCTGGAGTAAAACCAGTTTCCCATCAACGAGGAACAGTACTGTGGCAACCGCGACGTCTTGCGAAGGATCGCCCTCGAGGAGCTGGTCATCTGGCAAGATCCAACTCAGACCTCGCACCCGAGCAGGTGATCTAACTATGCCGTGGAAAGCAATCTGACCAACCTGAACGATCGTAATCGTGCCTGATGCCGTGGTGGTGAAGATGTAGTGATACAGCAAGTTGTCGTACGTGTAAACAAGTAGTGAGTCGTCCCCGGATGGTGTGATGAGGACGACAGGTGACGGTAGTTTCTCAACATGGAGTGCGAGGGAATTGTCCAAGGTAGCCTCACGCGAATACAGTCGCAATTCAAACGAGTCGCCCGCCTCGATAGCGGCCACCAGGATGTGCTGGTGCCAACACATCCCACCGCGCACTTGGAATTCATTTTCCATGCTCTCATTCTCAAAAGTCTTCCATCTACCACTGCTTATGCTATAATGGACCAACCCACGGCGGCCTGCGACCGCCACGTATCTGCCATCAGCTGAGATGACTGAGCACCGCATAGGCCATTGATTCAGAAGGTAAGTCGCAGGAATCTGGGCATTATGCCACAAAGACGATTCAGTTGAGATCGTAGTGAGGTCTGGGAGATCATAACCTCTATAGACCATGATATCTGACGTAGTTTGAAGCAATGTCCGCGAGGTATTCGCCGAGGCATAGCACCCCGTGATAGCACTGCGCGCCATTTCCAGAGTCCATATGCGATCATCTTGCTGGCCGATAATCAGGATCTCTGAGCCTCCACCAAGCCAGGCTGCATCTTTAACACCTTCGAGCCATCCTTCTGCATGTTCCTCGGAAATGATTTGGTCCGAGCCAAAACTCGTAGCGCCCGGCTTCCCAAACACGCTCCATGTAGCCCATCCGTTCTCGTAGCCCACGAAGAGGTGATACCCATCCGGAGAGTAAGATAGACATGTTATACGGCCTGAAGACTGGCCAGAGACACTGACTCTATGGACATGAGATGCTGGGATATTTCCGACGTAGTCTCTGGCTGTATAGACCTGAATCACCCCATCTGCGCAGCCAATAGCGATCAGAGAGAACCTTGCATTGATAGCAGCTTTGGTTGCATAGTTTGCTTGTGTTTGAGGGGTGTGGAAGCAGTAGCCCCTGAAGAGTTTATGGGGAGTATCCACATCCTTTCGCGGGGGCAGTCTTTGGACAGCATACCCTTTCCCGTCACTTGTGATCCAAGTGGAAAGATTCATCGGTCTATCATGGATCATCTCAGTCACAGCAACTTTCTTGGGCAACCAGTCCATCCGGCTGAAAAGTTCTGTGCTTGTCTGGTTTCCGGCACTATCAGGTGTCCATCTGATACATTGAACTGCTGCTGGTTTTTGGGTTGCTACGACAAGTTCTTCGTCTAAAGCCAGTGCCTTGCCAATACCGGCGTCAACTTTGATGACCATCCGAAAACGTACACTGACCTCTCGAACTCCTCCACCCTCGCCAGGACCCCATAGAATCTTGTCTCCTCCCTGGATCCTCGCTCCGCTAAAGTTACTCGACCGCCTAACGTGGCCGCTTGTATGGTTTGAAAAACGGGGCTTGAAGACCCGGGCATCTGGGTCCGTAGCAAGGGTATAGGTAATCAAGTATCCAGAGGTTGTTTGTACAACAAAAATTGCGGAGTCGGGCCGAACAAGAAGGGAGACGTTAGGACCGTAGGCGCTCAAAGATTTTCTGGAGCGGATGACGACTGCTAAGATAGCAGTTGGCTATATGAACCGTTAGCATTGTTCTGCAGAACGCGCAATGGTCTATACCTTCGTCTGCCAGACTGTCAACGAAGAAGAAGTGATGACTGCGAAGATATGTCCAATCCTTGATAATCCAAGGGATAATAAAGGTTGCTTGTCCGCAGGTTCTGATATCGAAGCATCATGCCCGAGCGATCGAGTAGACAGGCGTCGGTTCGTATCGTATTCAACAGGTTTAATACCTGGAGCCACGGGCGTGGACTTTCCCGAGAGCTCGTCCTCCTCCTCCTCTTCCCCTCTATTGCTTGGGACATCGAGATATGATCCGCCGCTCTCAGTCGTCTCGCGTGATTCAGCGTCGTCGTCGGATTCATAGACGCGCTCTTTGGGAACTATGATATTGCTCGCTGCATATATCCGGGGAGCTCCAATGGGCCAGTACATGGCTGCGCACTACACCGGATACTTCATTCGCGGGGTTTCAGGCCAACCGAGTGGCACAGCAAGGCGTATGAATGAAAAAGGTTCCATGCATCTTAGGGAAACTGGAGATGGAATTGTAGGATGTTGATGTGCACAAGAATACGTGGAGATCCTTTTGTCTGGATGGGGTAAAGCGGCGGCTTAGATGCACGTTCCTTGTTCCCAATTACTGCTACTTTGCTTAAGAAAAGTCTTGACTTTCAATCAAGCGCCCTGCGGCGAAAGGAAAGGGTGTACAATTTACCCAGTATCTAGGTAGTCTCCCTACCTGGCTACCTGTACATTCATTCATTTTACTTGCTATCTGCCCCAAATCGGACTAGTTATAGGGTACTGGCGCGGGCAAAATCGCTTATCCCATCACAATATATTATTTCATCGACAGTCCATCATCTAATGGCAATTGTCACAACACAGCTGATGACTAAGAAGCAACCAGCCTCAAGCTCCAGCTCCAGCCTCCAGCTCCAGCCTCCAGCTTCCACATCACATCTCGCATTTTCGCGCGCTTTGATGCGCAGAGTCATTTTGAAGGAGTTCTGGCCAATCACGTGGCTTCAGCGAAATGGTTCCTCCTCGTCAGCGGGCGAATATTTCGAAAGATAAATTCTCCGCCTACTTCAGCAATCTCCGGACAACTCCATATCATGACCCATCTTCTAGAGGATCTGGTTCTCACGGGTATGTGTATTCTGTTCTGCCCCCTCGCTCGCCATATTTCTCCCTTTGGTCTCCTTCGCTCCAGTTTGGTTTCATCCCGTCACGTGGATATAACCTACTCGCAATGCCTCGTCTCTATTCTATGTTCCCCACCCGAAGAGGGTCATTTACTCTGATACTCTGTCCTTAATGCTTCCGGACTTGTAGCTAACCCTGATATCATAGCATTCGGTCTATTGCTTGGAATCCATTGGGTACCTTGGTAGCCACCTGTGCTGATAAAACACTTCGGGTGTAAGCTCTTCGAGTCACAGCCCATGTATGTATCTGATGCTGACGTTGTCTAGGTGGAATCCAGAAAAGTCAAATGTTCGCTACTCAACAGAACTCAAGGGCCATGAGAAGGCTATTGAAAAAATCGCGTTCAACCCAGTGAAGGAGGCCGAGCTGTGCAGTGTTAGTGGCGACGGTGTTGTGAAGTTCTGGGATGTTAGAACTAAAGCCATCATAAATGAGGTCAAGGATCTCGGTGATGCATTTACGCTTGCTTGGGCTCCAGATGGAGAGTCTTTGATAGTAGGAAACAAGGTATGGGTTTCCCCTTCCGGGGTAATAGCTGTCTTTCCCCTCCTGCCGGTTTCTGAGCTAGAAAGCCTCCTAACACCTTCCAGGCGGACAAGCTTTTTGTACTATCGCCAACTTCGCCTACTCCAACCGCTTCGTATCAACAGGATGTTCAAACCAACCAGATCGTGTTCTGTTTCAGCGGCAAAAAGATATTTTTGACAACTGGCGAAGGATCAGTCAAAATCCTCTCATACCCAGACTTTGAGCCGGTGTTCTACTCAAGTTACGATCCGGCCACTCCTTTTACCCTCCTCGGCCATACTTCGTCATGTATCGCCATCGAGTTACAACCCACGGCTCGTTTCCTCGCTACCGGAGGAACAGATTCCATCATTGCACTATGGGACACCACGGACTGGATCTGCCAGAGAACACTGGTCGACATGACTGGTCCCGTCAGAAACATCAGTTTCAGTTTCGATGGAAGTTACATCATTGGTGGTAGCGAAGAGGGAGGAGCTTTGGAAATTGCCCATACTGAGACAGGTGACCATGTACACACCATCAAGACTGGAGGCTCTTGTTCCGTGGTAGCTTGGCATCCAAGTAGGTATTGGCTGGCATATGCTGAAGGCGGAAGCTTGAGAATCGTTGGAGTAGACCCGGAGAAGAGATAGAGAACATTACCACCACACTCATCAAAAGTGTTTCGCGTGGTATCACTTACAACTTTCCGAGGCAGAGAACCTATTGCGAGGATACTGCTCCCAAGGTAAATGCTTACCATTCCTGGCATGTCTACATATTGAGTAGTACTCGATAGATGAGCTTATTTGTAATATGATTGCTGGGACATGGGGGCTTTGCAACATGCAACAAACTTTTTGCTGTGGCATTCATTCACTACGGAACCTCTATCTATCTTTCATCAAGCCTCAGTGCACCTCTTTCTCTATCCCTCCCGCATTGCGAACTACATCGTTGCTGTCTCGGCTACTGATATCGATTCGATGGCTCCCTTCTCGCCCAAAAAAATCAGGTACAAACATCGCTACGCTGACTGCAGAAAGTTCTGTGTTCCGATGCTGGAGCTGCACACGAACTTGAACCATCCGTCCAAAGCATCAAAATTTACAGCAACCAATGAGCTCCATGATTGTTTGTTTACACTCTTGGCCCAACAACCTTCGGTAACGTCTTTCTACCCATATGGAAGAAGAAGCCACGTCTTTGAATTATACTCCCCGGCTCGATACAGCCCCCGAAGGACGCAGAAGAGTCGGCATGATATTTCCTCCGACTCGGCTACCGAGTGCGTTGGGCCGTTACGGAATCACGTACTGGAAATGCTGGTGCTTGGTTGCAACGCATCACTCGGCCTGAATTACAATTGAAGGGCTTGAGCTGGAGCTTGAGATGAGTACGGAGTATATACAGCTTGCTAAAGCAAAGATTCCACTATCGATAGCCACAGACAGCTGTCGCAACACGCCCTATGGCTTGTGAATCCTTCATTATACCTACCCCGACCTGATACTATTATTCTGGAAGCAGATTTGAAGCATTCATAGCCTCTGGCTGCCCTTCGCGTCTTCTTCTCGCGTTCCTCATAACACTCTCCCGTTGCATTTCCTTGTTGTGAGATTCATGTACAGCCTCAGCCTCGTACGACGTTTGATCAAGAGGTTGTCAAGGAAGTTTCATTGAGCACAGACGTCGGCTTCCAATCCCTATCGAACGCCGACCGTTTATCTTATACATCATCATTAGCCACAATTCATGCGCAGACATGGACAACTCTGCCCATCTAGTTCCAGGTACATTCCTGGAGAAAGCTATGTAAATGCTGGATAACCAGAACATCTCCAGCTGAATCTGACGCATTTGAAATCGGCCAATCTCCCAAAGCAGCTAGACCGGAACTTCGCGAGCGGCACAGCTCAGTTGGAGCAGGATTATTACCTATTCCTCGAGCTGGTCTCTTCCAAATACTTTCCCCCCCCCCCCAATAGCGCAGGGACATTAGGGACATTGAAAGCGCCCAGTAATCTTCAATTAGATGCTGAATATGTCTACAAGCTCGACAACTCCCGCGGAAGGATTTTTCAACGACCTTTCGCGACAGACGAGCAATGGAGTACGCAATCAACTAGCGCGAAGCCCAACATCCGAGAGCAATACAGCGGCAGATCACACAAGTGGAGGGGACTCGAATATGCCAAAGCTCAAGAGGATAGCTTGCATCATCTGCAGGAAGAGGAAGTTGAAGTGCGACGGGACGAAACCAAGTTGCTCGACCTGCACGCGGCTAGGACATAGTTGCGCTTATGATGAAGTGCGTAGGAAGTCCGGTCCGAAGCGGGGGTATGTGAAGGCTTTAGAGGAGAGACTTAGTGAGCAGCTTCTCTTTGGTTTTAGATTTGTACTGTAGTTAACCTAGAGAGTGTGGAGCTAATGGACATACCCTTCGCAGAGCAGGTAGAGACGTTATTGAAGGCAAAAGATCCAGTCCCTCCAAGGCCAGAGGCGCCAATAAGCTTTACCAACGGACCAGGGAATATCAGTGGTGTTGGTCTCCATACCGTTCCTGCTGGCGACTTCAACATCTCAAGTTCGTCAATAAATATTGGGAATGGGAATGGGGTAGAACCAGATCGGTGGGGACTTAGCGGACAATCGTCTCAACCAGCCATTGACATGCCATTCACAGCGGATATGAATATTGGCATGGGTCTTGACGATAATAATTTCACATGGGAAATGATTGGTCTTGGTTTGGAAGAGCCTCTGCCGCCCCAGGATTCCATTGACGAATTGTATGCCTCTCTCTCAGACTTATGGAGCTTTTGCTTATTGTCGGAACATAGACATCAAATCTACTTCGACAAAATACACCCCTCAGTACCCATGATCCACAAACATCGATATTTAGCGGCAATGAATCTGTATGTTATTTCGTTTTCTTCGCTTCACTCATGTCGTTTGTCGATATGATACGCTGCTGCCCAATCTCCGATACTGTGTCTATCTAGCCCTCGCGAGCGATGCAAATCTCAATTTAGTCTTTCGATCCAGCTCAGAACTTCGTGGGGAAGCTGTATCTGAGTGCACTTCCTACAGGTGAGATACTGACGAGCATCAGTGCGCCTAGTCAACGTCCGCCTGTCGCACTCCGTTATGCCATGTGGACTCTTGCTGCAAGTGTGACCGACAAGTTCATGGATCTGAAGGGCCATTTCTACCACCGCGCTCGGAAGTACATGGAGGCCGATGCTCTGAAGGGTCATGGCGAGCACATAATTTCTATTGCGCATGCTCAAACACATGCGCTTCTGGCCTCTTACGAGTTCAAGATGATGTCTTTTCCCCGCGCATGGATGAGCACGGGATCTGCTATCAGGATGTGTCAAATGTGAGTAGACAGAAGCCGAAATAAATTACATATGCTGACTTCTAGAAAGGATGGGCTTACATAGACTTGATGGCGCTGGCTTGGATGTCAAGCAGTGCTTGCCTGCACCGCGGGACTGGACTGAAAGAGAGGAAAGACGCAGAACTTTCTGGTACGCTTTCTGCGAAGACCGATATGCTAGCATTGGAACAGGCTGGCCCATGTTGATCGACGAGAAAGACATTCTAACGGACCTGCCGTCTTCTGATGAGGCATTCGATATGAGCAAACCAGAACATACCTCGTCCCTAAGCGAGTCGATGTCCCCTTCAGGCGCTTCCAAGCTTTCATCCTTTGGAGGTGTAGTTTTGATGGCATGTCTGTTCGGTCGCAACTTGATTCATCTTCACCGTCCAGATTCTGACGGCAGAGATGGAGACCTGAATGGCGAGTTTTGGAAGCGACACAGGAATATGGACAACATCCTTCTCAATACATCGCTATCTATGCCATCTCACTTGAAGCTTCCGAATGGGATTTCCGATCCCAACATTGTGTTTACCAACATGAACATCCATACCTCTACCATCTGTCTACACCAAGCTGCAATTTACAAAGCAGACAAAAATCACTTATCGTCGTCTATCAGTGCAGAAAGTAAGCTGCGATGTATCACAGCTGCTCATGAAATTACTCACGTCATGCGAATGGTCTCTCACATGGACCTATCTTCTGTGAGCTTCCTCGCCTTGAGCTCGTATTTTCTCGCTAATCCTGTCCAGATGAACCCTTTCATATGTTTCTGTCTCTACGTGGCGGCACGAGTCTTCGCCCAATACTTGAAGAGCCGGCCGGACGATAGCAAGACAGGAGATTCTCTACGATTCCTCCTTATTGCCATGAATGCCCTAAAAAAGAAGAATCCTTTGACGGAGTCATTCTTGGTGCAGCTGGATGTTGACCTGGAAGGTCTTGGTATGCGAAACCCGAAGTTCAAATCTTTATTCGCGTACAGCGAAGACCACGTAAGTACCTCACTACATATTTTCTCCAACCATGCTAACAAGCAATAGCTCGGAATATCGAGTGCAGAGATGCCCAAGATAGGCCAAGGTCCCAACGGTCTCCCGAATACCTTTCGCAAGCCAGGAGGAGAGTGTAATTTCATGCGAATTCCCGAAGGTGCTGGAAATCCCATGGACGATGTCAGCTCTACCAAGGATCCGAACGACTTCCGGCGGGGATCAGAGCCGAATTCAGCTGGTCCGTCCAATTCCAACGCCAACCATTTTGGAGACCAGACGAACTGGATGCCACTCCCGGATCACCCGCCGACGGACACAGGCAATGCAGTCCAACAAACACTTCAGGGTCTTGCGACAGGCGAGATTCATCGCTCCACAGCCTACGGGCCTGGTCTGAGCAATAACCGCTTCGGAAACAGTGAAAGCAGCAACGGAGTAGATACGGGACTTTCGCCTGGTACCGCAATCTCATCCTCCAACCGCCCAACGCCCATTGCTTCTACACCATCCGACTCACTCTCCAACCTACAGCCTGGGCAGTCCGACTCGACGTCCTACGAGACGAGTGCAGCAGCGACACATCTTTCCAAGCACTTACCAGGAAGTGATACGAGGACCATGCAGGGGTTCTCTCCGAACCAGCAGGTTTACAATGGGATTGCGGCGACGGGGATGACGCCGGATGGTACATTCGGAATGACGGCGACGCCGAGGAGGGGCTTCGATCTACAGAGTAGCTGGGAGATGAGCAGTCAGCCTATAACGGGACTCACTCCCGTTGGCGAAGGGGTGTTTAGGCAGTTGTTGGGGCTGGGACCTATGGATGCTATGTAAGTAAGCCCACTCCACATCCTCACTTGAGATCGGATCAAAGCTAACGTTATTTCGAACAGGGACCTTGGATGGGAAGGCGGATCATGAAAATTTTTATGACATCTTTCTTACTCAAAGTACTGTTTACAATCGATCGCTCTAGACGATATCAGCGAGCCAGTGGGCTAGTATTGAGTATTTATTGAACCACTCAAACGAAGGATGAAGAAACGGCGTTTATCTCGATACTGGAGCAGGGTGACGGGAACTCGGCTTTGGGGCACGGTGATGATGATGGTTTGTGTACGAGATCGCATTCACTGTATTTGGATAAGCTCTGCACGATTTCAGTATGTTACAACAGCGCTTTGGGGTCATACACGGGCGGGCGCTTTGGGATTTAATTGCCTTCCCACTCTCGGCTTACAGGTCACGAACAGATTTTGGGGGGGGGGCAGGAGATGAAGAAAACATTGCGACGGTGACGATGCCGGTTTCATCCTTCAAGGTTCTCGTTCTCCCAGTGCTTTGTATCTGTGAAGCGGCATATACATGTGTACATATGTATACATATATACATACACAAGTGCAAGATACGTTCGTAAATAAGCAGCGACTCTGGATCCGATGCCAGGGAACCAAAATAACAACAAATGTTCATATATGTATATATACACACGAAGACAAACGTACTACCACGTATTTCCGAAATTCACACTTACCCCCTTCCCATCCGCACCTTATCAGCCAGCTACCCAGCCACCCATCTACAACCGTCTCCTCCGATTTCTGCTCTGCTATGGGATCCGAGTTGACAGTCGGTTTTGGAGCTGGTCTGTGAGTGAGGGCTGTTTGTTGACTCACGAAGCAAAACAGAAGCTACCTACCGCTACCTACCGATTAAGCTCACCCGGCTGTTATTATATAGAGCATGGAAATCTTGGTAGTTTTGCTGTTCTGGCCAGCGGACTTGCCCTAGTCGTAGCAGCCCTGTCATCATGCGTGGGCCGCAGAGTGGCATTGCAGTAAATAAAGAAATGTGTGATATGAGGAGAAAGAATGGGTGCTGGTGGGGGGTGAATGGGAAACGATTGAGAAGAGATGAAAGCTTAGAGCTGCGCGAGTTTGGATGAAGGTTGTACTTTGGGGAATTGGGGAGGGTAGAGAGCTGTTGGATTATTTGTATGCAGGTTTGGTTTAGAGTGTTCGCCTCAGGACCAGGGGTAAAAGGTGGCGTGGATTTGATAAATTCTTACATTTTACATGTGTTTCACTGTACATGCTTATCCTCCTGGATAGCTGAGTATAAAGATCGATGGAGGATATTCTTTCATCCGCCCTACTTGACTCTCCGCTTCCCATGGTTTCTCTCGCGCGCGGTCACAACCCACTTGTTTGGTTTTCTGACCTTTCGAGTCTTGTATCCTCCTTTCGCCTAACATGTTGTCAGCACGTTTAGATTTTTAGGTTTGGAATACTCACAGGCATACCCCATGGGCTGACAGGGTTGACGTTACCCTTCGACTTTCCACGTCCACCACCGTGTGGATGGTCAGCTGTGAAAATCATTAGCTCTTGGATTGTGATGTCCTTGATTAGGCAGTCCTTACCGGCATTCATGGCGACACCTCTGACTGTTGGTCGAATGTTCAACCATCTCTTTCGTCCGGCCTTACCGAGTTGAGTATGTTGGTAATGAGGGTTACTAGCCACACCGATCGTAGCACAAGCATCTCTGCTCACTTTCCGCACTTCACCACTCTGCAGACGAACGGTCACATATTTTTTGCCGCCACTCGTAGTCTCGTCGTCCTTAGACATAACCACAGCGTAGGTACCTGCACTTCGGCAGAAGACGGCCCCCTTCCCTTTCGTCGATCCAACATTGTAGATGATGGTCCCAATGGGAATCATGTGAAGCGGCAGACAATTACCCCGCCAGGCGGTCTTCGCAGCTAATACACCAGGATCCACCACTCCTCCCATACTGTCCAGGAGCTCCTGAGGGATACCAGCTCGGTAGCTCTGAACCACATCTCCAGCTCTCATTCCTTCACAAGCCACAATATAGCTCTTCCTGCCGGTAGCTTCCTCATTCAGCAATGCAATGTGTGCAGTTCGTCCCGGGTCATGCTCGATGCGCTCCACAGTGTGCTTCCCAGGTGCCATTCTCGAGAAATCCACAGTCCGTATCCTTCTCTTGTGGCCACCACCACGGTGGCGGATTGTGACTCGACCGCTATTATTTCTTCCTCCTTTCCCATGACCCTTCTTTGCAAACGTCAATGGTAGAAAAGGTCTCCCCTTCCACAGATGGTCGTTGATGGGCCGCCTCAAATGTCGCACACCGGGAGTTCGAGGCTTATATGTCCGCATCCTGAATGTAGAATCTCCATCATCAACGGTCGGAGGAGGTGCAAAGCCTGTTGACGGAGGGCTGACCTTCGCCGGTTCGATAGTTGTGGCAAAGAATCGTGTCAGGAATTGACATGTAGTCTTTCCCTTTGGGGGCTGCCGCAGCAGCAGCCGTGATTGCAGCATGATGGCCGAGCCAGCTTTGGATAATTGATCGATCGACCCAGCTCTCAAACAGACTGCTTCTTCAATTGCCCTGGCGCGGGCGAGTAACGTCGGTGGATAAGACTGTCAGCCGGTATTTGCTGGTGTAGCTGTCTGCCGACGACGATGGCGAGTTGCTGGGCTCTTCGACTTTGTGAGACAATCGCGTTCAGCCACACAGCCACTGCGTTGCCCGGCCAGACCAGAGCGGATCCCCAAGTCAACAAGTGCAATTCCTGGCCCACCAACGCTTGCATTAAATATTCTCTTCCAGCAGAAGGTCTATTGTATTGAATTGACACGGATACAGCTTCATCGCCTGGAATCGCTACAGCTCGCCTGCTTTCCTGTCTGTCCACCACCGCATCTCTTCACTTCGCCTCCTGCCCGCCCTTGCATCGCATCACGCATTCGCTTTGCCTTTGCCTTGCGCGTAGTGCACACCCACTGCAACGTTTGGTAGGTAGGGATCCCTGTCAGTCGCGCTAGTCATAACAGGCGAATACCTCCAACTCAAGTCTTCCTCTCCAGTCCCACACCCATACAACACCCAGACAACAACAACAAACCCTACAAATCCTTCTTCCCGCCCTCCATACACCAACACTTCTCTACATCCTCGACCGACTGCGCGATACTCACTCGGGCCTCAAGGCAAGGAGAATTGATAATAACTCGCCGTGCCCCTCCAGATACCAGCACGCACATCAATCGATATTTGTTGATATCGTCGTGCCCGAGCCGACACTACCTATCTTGAGCCTTCCGGCTTTCGACCTGGTTCTCGGCTGGTTTCTTGTATGTATACTCACCTGAGGTCCTTTATTGATGCACCATCGCGTCCTCACTGTCTGCTTTTCGAGTTTCACACGCGTGTCTACACCAATTCATACCGCGTCTCACTCACCTGGACACAGCTCTTCGACCTTCACATCATACCGAAACATAATCCCTAACAATACAAAAGCTCAAGATGCCTCCCGTGAGTTCACTTAATTCTCCGGAACAACCTGCTTCAGCTATGAATATGGGTTCCAAACAAATACTTGGTACGCGTGCTGATATCCTGTGCAGACTCGAGCTTCCATGAACCATCGGGCTGTCATGAACGAGAACGACGAGAATACTACTGGCGGGCGCCGTCTAACTAGATCCAAGTCAGCTATGTTCGGCGACGATTCCGCCTCCGGTGCGAAGAAACCCCTTCAGTCCAAGAAAGCTGCTGCCGTCAACAACCAACCACTTCGCAAGCGTGCTGCGTTAGGAGATGTCAGCAATGTCACTAAGGGCGAGATCTTGGAGAGCAAGAAGAACGCAGGAAAGGGTGGTCTCGTTTCCAAGGCATCTCAACCAACCGGTGTCCAGAAGAACGTGTCCCGTACAAACTCCACAAGAAAGGTTCTGGGTGCCAAGGACAACAACAAGAAGGCGGAGGCAAAGCGTACAGGATCTGGTGTTCTTGCTGGCAAGCGCAAGTCGAGCTCGACCTCTGCGAACAACGCGTCTATCAAGGAACAGACCCCGGCGGAGGATGAGCAACCTTCGAGGAAGAAGATCCACATTGAAGTTGAGGAGCAGGTCGTGATCGCGGAGGACTTCGCGCCCGAGGTGAAGGAAGAGGCCAAGGTTGTCGACGAGGAGTCAGTCAGTCAACAGTTCGCCGAGGGTGTCGAGGACTTGGATCGGGAGGATCTTGATGACCCATTGATGGTTGCCGAGTACGTCGTTGAGATCTTCGACTACCTCAAGAAGTTGGAGGTTGCCAGCCGACCCAACGCGGATTACATGGAGCATCAAGAGGATCTCGAGTGGAAGATGCGTGGTATCCTTATTGACTGGTTGGTCGAGGTCCACACCCGTTTCCACCTCCTACCCGAAACACTCTTCTTGGCCGTCAACATCATCGATCGCTTCCTCTCTACCAAGGTTGTTCAACTTGATCGTCTTCAATTGGTTGGTGTTACGGCTATGTTCATCGCATCGAAGTATGAAGAGGTCCTCTCCCCACATGTCGCTAACTTCCGTCGCGTCGCGGATGATGGATTCACTGAGGATGAGATCCTGAGCGCCGAGAGATATGTCCTCACTGCCCTAAACTACGACCTCAGCTACCCCAACCCCATGAACTTCCTCCGCCGTATCTCAAAGGCCGATAACTATGATATACAGACCCGTACCCTGGGAAAGTATCTCATGGAGATCAGTCTTCTTGACCACCGCTTCATGGAGTACCTGCCCAGTCACATCGCCGCGGCTTCCATGTACCTGGCCCGCAAGATCTTGGACAGAGGTGAATGGGTAAGTCACGCATCCATCCTGCTACCTTTACCCTCACTAACACCTTCTAGGACCCAACCTTGGCTCACTATGCTGGCTACAGCGAGGAAGAAATTGAGCCCGTCTTCAAGCTCATGGTTGACTACCTCGCCCGTCCGGTCACTCACGAGGCATTCTTCAAGAAGTATGCTAGCAAGAAGTTCCTTAAGGGTAAGCAATCAATGATTCCTGTGTCTCACGGTTTACTAACATTTTCTAGCATCCATTCTCACCAGACAATGGGCCAAGAAGCACGCCGCAGCTCTCGGTGTTGACGTCGACCTTCCTCTGGAGGCCGCACGTTGAGCCCACGACTTTACGATGACTTATCTGCCACGACAACTTACGTCATTTGCTCTCTGGATACACCATGAAAACTGCATCGTTGGATGGGACACGACTGGGTAATGACGGATAATTTCTCGGATCCCTCCCCATATTCTTGTGCGTCTTTCCGGACTCTCGACCTTCGGGTACATGCGATCCATGGAAAGATGTGGTGGCTTCTTCTCTGAACGTAGCCGAGTTTACTACATATTCTATCTCGCTCTTGCATCATCGGACTGGCGTTTTCTGTGTTTGGGCGGCACGGAGTCGGTCCTTTCCTCGTGTTTCTATTGTGCAGGATCTGTCTAGGTATTACACCATGACAAGAAAAAGGTCCTGAAGATCGCTAGCGTACTTTGCATTTGCTATCGAAGCGCTTATGGGAGTTCGCTTTTCTGGTGTCCAGGGGCACCGTCTGTAGATACTTACCGACAATAAACCATACCTTCAACCATAACCATGCTTTGCAGGGTCAATATGACTTTGATTGTGATCTCATTCCCTCCTCAAAATGTACCAGGTAGTACTGCATTATGCACCTGTTCCCTGTTCGAACTCCTGACTACGTAGGAGAGCTGAGCCCAGTCTTTACATGTACGACAGGAGGCTCAAAAGTGCCCGTGCAAGCTATTCGCTAGCGCCATCTCGATAAGAGCTTCAGTAACAATCACATCACAGCTTCACACCTTCAATTCCCCTAAGCTTGCTCCGCAGCCCCGAATCCTTCTGGCGCTGAGAAACTCACGCAAAAATGACTTTGGATCCCCCTTCGTACCTCTCCTCGCTCCAGAACAACATTCGTAGTCGACCAATTCCCTTCGAATCCTGTGTGCGCGCCGGCACAATAAGTGACGACCAGTTGAGCAAGATCAGATCCGTGGACAAGGTCAGGAAAGAACAGAGGAAAGAAGCCGTGGAAGGTGACCTCGATGGATATCGCACTCTATTTGTGGGTAGTGGTGGGAAGGCGGGCGTAATAGAATCAGCTGCAAAGCGTGGAGATGTCGTACAGTATATCTTGGTCCTCTTCAGCGACTTGCTTGAAGGTAATGCATTCTTCTCGCCGCTATATTCGAAGCAGTACTAATATCTGAGTTGCAGGAATCCCGGCTTTCGCAAAAGCTCTCTCCGAACATCAAGACCCATACGGCACTCTGTTACCCCTCCTAAAATCCAACGACGTCGAAAGCACAATACCACTACTGACCTCGACGGTCCTTACGGCTATCATTTCTGGCACTCCAAGCTTCTCCAAGAAAGAATCGTCTGCGATCCCCAAGCTCTTCACCTACCTCTCCACATTAACCAAGGCAACAGACGGAGGCCTACAGGATATAGGGGTCCTGCAATACTCAGCATTGTTGCGAGGCAAGAGATCAAGGCAGTTATTCTGGGATCAAAGGAGCGAGACAGTTGGACCTCTTGTGGAAATCCTTAAGGCAGCTGCGGGTGTATCGAACGGAGATTCGGCCTCTACCTTGTGGAGTGGTGCAGCTAGCTTCCGGAGCGGACCTGAGGGTACTCTGGGAGGCGGAGTAGGCTTGCAGCTACTCTATCACGTTCTGTTGGTCTTGTGGCAGCTGAGTTTCGAGGGCGCTGAGATTGGAGAAGGTCTGGACGAGTAAGCACAGCATCTGATCCAGTCCGTTACAGACCAAGCTAATAGCAGCAGCGAGTTTGATGTCATTCCTCTCTACACACAGCTTCTAAGACTATCGCCCAAGGAGAAGACCACCCGACTCTTGATATCATCGCTGTACAATCTTCTTTCGACAAACAGATCCTCGTTGCTTCCTGCTGCAGTACTCGCACGACTTCCCGCCCTGCTCCAGAACATCAATGGACGCCATCTTTCAGACACGGATCTTCTTGACGATCTTAAAAACCTCAGCGAGATGCTCGACGAGTATACGAAGACCCAGACAACATTCGACGAGTACGCTGCTGAAGTCAACTCTGGCCATCTCCGCTGGTCACCTCCGCATAGAAGCCCTACCTTCTGGGCCGAGAACGCTCGCAGAATCCTCGAGCATGAGAAGGGCACATTACCCAAGAAGCTCGCGGAGATCATGGGCAAATCTTGGGAGAATGACAAATCAGTTCTGGCTATCGCCTGCAACGATGTCGGATGGCTGGTCAAGGAGGTTCCTGAGAAGCGGTATCTGTTGGAGAAGTTGGGCTTGAAGACGAGGGTTATGGAGTTAATGCAAGAACCGGATGAGACTGTCAGGTGGGAGAGTCTCAATGCGCTATCCGGATGGCTGAGATACAGCTTTGAGACGAAGTGAGTGAGTGTTGTGATTGGGGAAAATGTGTATTACCAATGAAAACAGGGTGGTATTCGGTTTTTTTCTTTGAGCCGATGACTTACGCTCTACTCTTATTGCTATCCAGAATGCTATGCTATTGTATTAGAGTAGAAAAGGCAGCACCAGCCATGGCCGGAGATTGAATTTACTTGCTATAGCTTAGCTGGCTTCTTTTCCCCGTTTGTTTCCTCTACTCGCTTCTCATTTGCTTGCTCACTCGCTATTTCCCATGAATATATTTAAAAAAAACAAAAAAAAAAACCCTTGGATTTGGTCGAGGCAAGAAAGGCTTTGTTTGTTGCCTTCTGCGCGGAAGAGTGTTATGGAGCTGGGATTCTTCTCCGTGATAGATTTTTTTCACGTTTAATTGTACATGTAATATATAGCTCCCTTTGAAGCCGTATGTGAGCGACAAGCCGTCCTCTCACGGTCATTCGCAATAGAATTCTTACTTTTTCCCCCCTTGTCAGTAGCGTGCGTCTATTACGTAGTAGCTTCAGTCATAAACATCGGGTCTAGGTTTCTGAGATATAGAAGGTCTATCCGCTGTCCAAATAAAGAGATACCCTATCTCTGGCTTCAACCTCCGTAGAGCGAATGTTGTCTCACGGTGCGGACTGTACTGTGTCCTGCTCCGAAGTCACGGTTGCCACCCTTGCAGATTTTCCGACTGCTGGGATATGGGAGCGTCGAGGGCAACGGGGATGGATTTGAGGCTGACGAATTCCGAATTGGGCTTCTGGGGTGGCTTTAGACTCGAAGTCCGAAGTCGGGAAACTCCTTGACGCTGGGGTCAGCTGGGATCAGACATCGTATCGTTTTCTATTGTACCACTCGCTCAGCAGTGAGCAGGTGTCCGAAGTGCGGATTGAGTTGAGCGACCTGAAAATACATTCTTTCTTTTGGGACTAATTAACTGCCAGAGCAAAAACGTTGAAGTGAGTACCAGCGTTCGGGACTGATTGATGGCTTGTCTCGCTGCCTTTATGACTCCACCTCGTCCTTCATTCCAGCTCGAAAGAAAAACCGGAGGAAATCCTCTGGAATCATAATCCGACCTCTGAGTATACACAAGAGTGACGAAATAGAAGAGATGTAATGATAAATCGCCCAGCGTAGATAGCCGGCGGATGGAGACCTCCAACTACCCTTTGGTACTGACGGGCGAACGGAAGTTTATTCCCCTGGCAATGACTTCGCACCATGCTAACTAGCTATTAGAGAAGAGAATGTTGATTCATTTAATGTATTTAATCGAACGCTACCAATTCATTATACTACTATTAATCGCTTGCTTTACTTTTAGTACGAAAAGCGATGTTGGCGAGCCCATAAATCGCTAGCTAGCCTTTATCGATATCATGAGTACTAGGAGCAAAGTTAACCGACGGATGTGGAACAGGGCGGGGCCAAAGAGAAGCCGAGAGGAAGCCACGGTGAGAAAAAAAAAAGCATGGGAGCCACACGACAAAAGATTATTGACACCGACCTCTAGAAATCAAAAACAAAGGTCGTGCAGGGAGTCGAACCCTGGTCCCGAGAAGGTCTGAAGATCAGAGCCATGATTCTGATGTGTCAAAATCTCATGTGCTAACCGTTACACCACACAACCGATTTTTATATCTGATGATATACTCTGGGCTTTTTAATTTGTATTATGTCGCTTTCAAAATTCTTTCGGACCGGTAACTCTGACACACGGGCTTATGTGTGGAGCTAAGTCATGAAAGGGTGGGTCGTTTTAGCTTTTTACTTGGCTTTGCTTCGTATTGTTCTCGCTTGCATTTCCCAACTGGGATGTCAATTTCTTCTTGTCTTTTTTTTGGGGGCGGGAGGCAAAATTCAGTGTGTGTGGGCTCTGTTTCCCGAATCACGACTTACGGGAGTCGAATTTTGACGTCTCCCTTTTTCTTCTCCAACGAGAAATCAGAACTTTTAATAACGTTGCTTTGATATCTTCCAGATTAAGAACCATTTATTTTACACGCTTCTTACATGAGATTTTTCCCTCTTCGGGAGGTGGCGACACAATCGAGTGATGAGAACTGCTTTGAATATGATGCCAAGTAAAATTCTGATACCTAGCATCTATCCTGTCACCTATTTTCTAGCCATGAGCTGTTTAGTCTATACACTTACTCTATCTACTCTTCCCGCCACATTACATCATTAGGTATACCTATCGCTCTCACTTTGAATCCATACGAATAGGACAGACGGCCAGTCGAAAGCTCATCAGTATTCATTAGCTAATCTACGCTCGCGGAGTCTACCTCCAGAAAAGAAGGCGCCGATATTAATATCATCGCTATAGTGCACGCATAAAACGCACCTGAAAGCACAGGCAGTATCAAAAAGAGCTCAAGACGCTCCGCCGTACCCACCTCGGCGACCCTTAGTAACCTCGACGTGCACAGTCTTCTCCCCATAGTGCGGCAGCTCCGTGATGGCTCCGCCCATGGTGACCATCTCGTCTTGTACAGTGACGATCAGATTGGGGAGGCTTTCAATAGGCACAACGGTCCCGTCAAACTGCTCACTGGTTAGCTTTTTTTTTTTTTTTCCCCTACAGCATTCAGCGACCCTGCGACGTACTTTTTGCGCTCTCCACTCCAGATTCGTCTGCAGGTACTTGCTCATGGCAGCCGTGTCTGGTGTGTTCATTCGATTCTTATTCAGCCATTCCATCAAGCTGAGCTCCGAAAAAGCTTCCACCACAGGAAGCGGTCCAACCTTGGGGGTTGGTGGCGGGAAAACTGGGAAGGATCCAACGCAAGCAGAGCTCATAGCCCAATCCTTTGGGTTCTGAGGAACACCGCCAAGAAACAGTCGGACGATGAAACGCTCGCCGCTTAGATCGAACTTGGAGACGCGGAGACCGACGGACCATTCTCGAGTTCGTTGGCCAGGAAGCAAATCTCTCGTATCCATATTGCCTGATCCACGCTTGGCAATTGGAGGGTTCGGATTGTATAATCTGTTGATTGCCGCGCTGACGTCTTTCTTGAGCTCGGCTGGAGATAACTTCCAGTCTTGGATCTCGGGGTACGTGTAGCCAAAAGTACTGATTTGTTGCGCGGTGATTGAGTTGAAGTATGGGCCGTCGGCAGAAGTCAGGAATGGTGTCAGAGGTGTGGTGTTGCTAGCCATAGTGTTTTGTGCCAACGTAAAGGTGCCGACTTCTTCGATTTGTGGAGTGAGGCTCGAATTCGAATTGATGACTTGCCACAGGGCATGTAATCTATCCACATTGGCATGGTGCAACCAACTCAACAAGGGTCAGCTTGGATTTGTACAGAACCTTGTAGACGGAACAAGCTTGCTCACAAGAGTGGATCGAAGGCAGAATAGCTCAAGTATGACATATGGCCGGAATTCAATCCGACAGACCCATGTACTTGGTTATGGGGGCTCTCGATTGAAATGCCTCCCGTTGCTTCAGTTCCGAACTCGTTGAAGGTGACGGGCTTGACCAAGGCGTACCACTGTGTAGTTCATCAGTATCCAGCTTGTTCGTCACATTGGAAAGCGTGTACCTAAGCCTAACCAGGATGACAGACAACAAGGTACTCACAGTCATGCTCTTAAGGTCGACACTCCGCAAGGCATTATTTGCATTGTCGATATTAGACTCATCACCATCATGCTCTGCACCTCTCACAGTATGCGGATAACGCGCCAACCAAGCATCCCAGGCCCTGGAAAGAAAGGTAAGTTATTAGATAACCATCTAGAAAATTTTCGAGGCCAGTTTTGAGATCATGAGACGCCGAGAATATAGCGATCCTATGGGCCGATCAACTTACAAGTCCTCGGTAGCTGGAAAGTTCACTGGATCTAGAGGGAAGTTCTTGAAATTGTATCGAAACGTCGGGTTGGTGACATTCTGGGGACCGGACGGTGTTTCGATTTGGACGGTAGGTTGATTGACCACATCAGGCATTGTTGGTATACTTGCCCAGTCCCAGTAAGGAATTCGGAAGTTGTCAGCGGCAACCTACATTATCTCCAGGTCAGCTTTTGTCAGATCGCGATCACCAGTTTGCGGAAGAGGCACAGGGAATATCAACCTTATAAGTAGCATAATTTTCGGCAGGATAGGCCTTAACGATGTCTTGAATCAGAGCACCGATCAATTCCTGCAATATTGTGAGATTCTCTAGATACTGGGGCCGGCGCTTGTTCTTACCTCGAAAAGTGCTAGATATGGTCGGTGCCAGGGCAAGAAGAGGACTGAGCCTGTTCACCGTTAGCTGTTGGCTTGTGATGTTTCGTATCAAAATGAGACGAGAATAGAGAGGCTATTAGCAATTTACCGTGCGTGCAGTATCCTGTTAAGGGGGCATTGTGGCCTTGTTCAGCATTACCCCATTTAATATATGGTCCTGCAAGCAATCAGCCTCTTGTGACCCATATGATCAATGCCATTCTTACGTCCATGGATGCCCGCAACCTGGGAGAACGACAGGAAGTAGTCATCATCCTGGTTTTGGAACGCGGAGAGACCTTGTATATACAGAGACCTGGGTGTGAACAAAAATCAGTGGCTGGCCAGTCGAATGGTTGTTCCTAGGTTGCGAGACGTCTCAAAGTTTGTTGGGAGTAGGATTTTGCTTACCACGCTGGAATGTCCTTCTGAAGATCCAGAATGTTTCTACGAGCCGGTCGAGCTGAGCCTGTTTGTCTGTTGATCCCAGTTTGTAGGCCTTTTATTCCATACACGGGCTGTTGGAGCTGAGCACCGTTTGAAGCTGTTGGTACGGCCGCAACAAACCATGACACGGCCAGGAAAGTCCAGGGGGCGATGATTTGGGGCAGCATTGTGGGGGTGGTGATGGTTGCGTAGACAGTTACTCGTATCCTATAGGAGTAAATTGTGAGGCGGAGGTAAGTACGGTGTGTGAAGTCGGCGTGGTATAATTCTTGGGGGTTTTATAGAAGAGCAACGCTTCCATTTGGGTCGAAATTTCGCACCCTCGCCAGCAGAGCCTTACTTTCTCGTAGGGCCAGTCCCGAGCGCATGGCTGCAGGCAAGAAAAGTCTCGGGAACAAGCAAGAACCACGAGTTTGTCCCTCCAGCTCATGCAACGACCCGGTACTTTTGGGTCTTGGGCCATGAGCCGCGTGCTTGCCAATCGCGAGCTTGTTTACTTCAGCTTCCAGCCAGCCGGCTTTTCCTACACCAAATAGTACTTTATACCGGCACTATTCTCCTCCAAACAGAAATGGAGCTTTGGGAGTGCACGGCGAGTGTCTCCGACTCCAGCGTTCAGCTTTCATCTTCAGCTGTCGCACTGAAGTCATGGTGACCGGAATACATTGGTCCAGCGTTTCGGTGCTCAGAAAACTCCGGAAAGAACGTGCCCTGACTGGTACGCAGCAACGGCTTGAATAGCCTGGTTTTCGAACAAGAATATTGTCGAAATTGGCCTCTGCTGGTTGGAGCGATAATTCGACATCCGGGTCGAATTGGATACTTGCATATACGAAGACGCTCCACCAAGCATGACCCGTATTGTACAACAGACTACGAGCGTCTTGAGAAAGGTTTGTTTTCTGAGGAGTCATTTTCTTCGGCAGTGTGAATGACGAGAGTATGGGGCGGACACAGCAGCAGCGCTCCGCTGCTCGAAATAACTTTTTCTGCTTCGTCTTCTCCATTAAATTAGCGTTGGTACCATTCAGATGTATTTATTCGTACCATCTACTGAGATACACAAGGATCCAGATTACCAAGCTGGGTCAATGTCCTGCTCTTTGTCCAGAAAAGAGTATTGAACAAAAACCTTTGCGTCGAGAACTCCAGCGAACTGAAATGAACGCAAAACAAAAGACATCTAAGCATTGAAGCATGGAGAAAACTTGCAGTGGAAAAGAGGGTTCCAGCCATCCTCGGCATGACGCAAAGTCGGAGATATCATCTCCTCGGGCTTTCTCATGCCAAAAGCCTTTTGCTTCTAAACTTTGAACGCACAAGGACAGCGAACTCAAAACACAGATAACGAAAGATCACATCGCGATTGGTAAATACGGCGAGAAAGCATTGGACCAAATAGCTTAAGAAACCAGGGACAAGTCCAGGAGCCTGAAATGGCAGCTCGATTAGCAGATGTTCCTCGTGAACGCGAACGTGACTGATATCAAATTTATACCGACTCGAGTTCATGTCGAGACCGGGATATTAATGTTGATAAGTTGCAGGATTCCATCATTCGAGCATGCACGACTCGATCATCCACACAATGTCGAAAGCGCTTATGCTGGGCCAGAGGATTGTTGCTATTTAATGTCATCAGAGAATAACACGGGGTGTGGTCGGATTCAATGTTGAAAAAGCATGACCTGAATGAAATTTGTTGCTAATTAGCCCTGATTATTAATTGATCCTTCTCAGAACACCACGATTGCTTCACACGCCTCAAATGTTTTGGCCGTAGCGACACACTGCATTAGTGAAGTTAAATCATCAGCCTTACTTACTAAGTTGTTGGAGCTTTGAAGATATCACTGGCCACGCGATTTTGATCATTGCCCATACCGTAGGATGGACGGTGTCGAGGTCCTAGAAGCTGTCTGTCGGTTAGCGCCATCTTCTACTGTGTAACGGATCGCAGTTCTGATCTGATATGGTCAATGCTGATCTGTGGTTAGAGGATGAGCTGTTGCCGATGATTCTGAAGGTTCAATTTTCAAATGTCCAGTTAGGTCACGGAAATACCTCTGAGCAGTTCGCTTCAGCTGTTTCTCCATATGGACCCACAAATGCTGACATTAGCTCTTGTGAAAACTAAGATAGAAGCTCCGACACCTCTGATCCTCTGATTATATGCGTACACCTATATTCCGAAAGTCCCGGTCTACATTGGAGTAATTCAACTTCCGTGAATATACAAGTTTTTGTGTACCAAGAGCGGACTGCAGTTAGTGGCTTCCGGCATACCTTTTGTGTAAGATTTTGTATCAGGCAGAGGACCAAGTTCTTTGTAATGTTACCAACTGGCTAGTTACTAAAAGTTTATGATTCATTAAAAGGTAGACCCCCTTAAACCCCCCTTTATTATTCATATTTTTATTTATATACCGGGGAGATCCCGGACCCCTTTTATTACTTATAATTGTATATTTAATTATATTACGAAAATGTCAGAAGTTATAGGGGTTACAAAGGTTATAAAAGTTACAAAATTTATAAAGGTTATAAAGGTTACAGAGGTTATAGAGGTTACAGAGTTTATAGAGGCTACAAAGGTTACAGAGGTTACAGAGGTTACAGAGGTTACAGAGGTTACAGAGGTTACAGAGGTTACAGAGGTTACAGAGGTTACAAAGGTTATAAAGATTACAAAGGTTACAAAGGTTACAAAGGTTACAAGAGTTATAGAGGTTATAAAGGTTACAGAGGTTATAGAGGTTACAGGATCATAGAAGTCACAAAATTTATAAGAGTTATTAAGTTCAAGAACAAGAATATGTATTAAAGAGGGTTTAGACCCGAATCTTTAACCCAGCTGCGGGAGGTGCACCTGGAGGGGGGGGGGGAGGAGAAGGGGGGAAGGTCCCGAACATAAGGCAATAAATTGTTCCTTTGCCTTAAAGGAGCACCCTTTAGAATAACAAACCTGAGTTTCTATATCGTAAAGAGTGGAGCGTTAAGCAAGTGGTGGGTATGGTTGATAGACGCGTAATTATTGATTGATTAATTACCTTAAAGGCAGGTAGGCGTCATTTGAGCGGTCCTCTGACCCTCTTTTGTAAAAGACGGTTATTAAACCGTTTAAAATCAGTACTAGTTACAAATCAAGAATAATTCACCTTTTTGATCGTCCCCGAGCTCGGGACCGTTTTATGGCCGTCTTATCGCCGTCTCCGTTTATATTTTTAAAATAGGCTTATTAATAAGCTTGTTTTAAAAAATTAAAGTAGTCCGATAACTATTCAAAAGTAGATATAATCATAAATAAAAATAATTTCTTAAATAAAATCGTTTTAATAATAATTTAATAAATTCGAGATCAAGATATTTATCGGTAATCATCGGTTTCCTTAATTTTTAATTCGAAAGAATTGACCGACTTGCTGTAGCAAGTCGGCACCACCAAGGCGGGACACCCAGCAAGGCGGGACAGTAACGGTATACCACTTATTGAACAATAACTATTAATACAAAAAAGAAAAAAAAATCTTTATATGATTAGAAAGTATTGCTTCACAAACGTGAATTAAAATTATAAAGATGTATTTATTTGTAGTAATTTAATATATTAAAATGTAATGAAAACATAGTCAAAAACTGTCCTAAATAATTCAAATTTACTTGTTTATTGCAAATATCTTAACAACCACAACCTTAATTGAAGAAAACGTTACATATATCGAAAATAAATGATTTAATGTATTATATTACTAAAGGTATTAATTATTAAATCAAGGTTGGTAGTGATGCACGTATTCTTTTGATAGGTTTGAATAAAAGTCCGATTTTCGTGTTCCTCGCTTATTCTAGTATATACGCGGAAATTCTGATATATACGCATTACCAAAATCGAAAAGTATATACCAAAAGTATTATCTTTATTACTTTAACTCAACACAACAAAGGAATAACAACTTGTAATTAGAATTCAATTCATTGGTTAATATCAAAATAAATACGGCGCATCGTTTTATACAAAAATAATTATTATATAATAGTTGGTTGATTTTTTATTCATTAAAAAGGAGCAAATTTTACTGTCCCGCCTTGGATTTTTTACAAATTAAATTCAAGGTAACCGACGATTACGATTTAAATTATTTAAATCGTTTGTTCTCAGATTCTATTTAATTTCAAGTATCGGCCTAAGGTGATCTACTAATTATGCTAACCCCTTGGAATCGTCTTTCAAAGAGACCGTCATCGGATTGTCAGCTGACGGTTTAAATAACCCCTTACCTGCCTTTAAGGTAATCTACGAAGTGGAAGACGCGTCTGCGTTAATGTCCCGGCGCCGGAGTTACTTTAGTCCCCCTTTTTTTTAAAAAAAAATTCGGGCCGACCCGTTCCGAACGTTCTATAAATTGATATGGAATAAAATTCTTGGCATGCTCAGAAATCTTGCCAGACCGGTATAAAATAATCTCACATGATTGGATGACTAACCACCATAATTACTGGAATTTATCTTAGGTCACCGTTGGTGATAATACGAGAGAACGCGAGGAACTACCTTAAAGGGTGGTAGGGGGTCATTCAAATGGTCCCCTGATCCTCTTTTATAAGTTGTTATTGTTGTTGTATTTATTAACGTCGGGCGGGTATCCAAAACGCAATGCTTGGACCCTGGGGACCTCCCATGGGGTACGGCGACGTGCTAAGTAGAGGAATGTAAACCCCCTAAAAGCAATTCATAGTGCTGTACGTCGAGTTTTCTCTCGACAACTGTCGAATACGTGTCGCTCTACGGGCGGCCTCGATCCGTATAATACAAACATCGTTTTCTTTCGTCGTAAAGCTAAGAAGGCCCGCGTTCGTAGCCCTTGGATAAAGCCGGTGTGTTTGCAGAACGCTCTTTCGAAGGCGCAGTACCGTGTTTCGATCAATCGATGTTGTACAGTGTGGTCCTTACCTCACGTGCTCCTCACGTGCTTGCACGTGCTCCCTTACACGTGCTGCCAAGCTCCTTAGAGGCCACGTACCACATGTACATATCTACAGTTGCTCTCGTGCTCTCCTGAATAGATCAGACACTTCTATCGCCATCTCTTGGACCCTTGATCTCTGCTCCACCTACCTAGGTATACGCCATCTGTCACCATAATCGAACTAAGCTTTTCTTATCCTATCTCTTATACACGTTCCCCTTTTATCGCAAATCCTCTTGGTCTTTTCAGTCGGTATGCCCGTCAGGTATAGATCGTAGTCGGCGTAGTATTCGAGAAGAAGGAGGAAGGAGGTTCGGAATCGCCGGTAAAGGAGAATTCTTCGAGGAGACGTCGCATATCGATGATTCAATTTCGGCTTTCCAGACTCTTTATCTCTTTTTCTACCGCAGGAGAAAGGAAGAGAAAGAGCTGAAGGTTCGTAAGGGGCACCTCGTACAGGTAAAGAATCGTAGCCCCCCGGTCTCAAGACGGTTTTTATACGAAAAGACGAGTATATAAAAAAGACGATTTAATTGAATAAAGTATTTCTAATTTAACTACGATTTAAATAATTTAAATCGTTTATTTTCAAATTCTATTCAATCTTAAATATCGGCTTGATCCACTAGCTATGCCAACCTATTGAAACCGTCCTTAAAAGAGATGGTTATCAGACGATCAGCTGACCGTCTAAAAGCCCCTGCATTCCCCTTTAAGGTACTCATAGCACTCCACGTAATGTACATCAATTCACCTATCCCGGGTTTTGTTTCAATCAAAATCAAAAGAGCATCGATCATGATTGCAGCGAAGGCTTTGTGAAATGGGCGTTGCATTGACAGGATTCGAGAATTTTATCCAACGGCCATCGACATTCGGCCAGACCAATCAACCATACTTCTAACAGAGAACTTTACCACTCATCACACACCACACACCACACTATGCATCGGTGACTTCTCCAATATGGTTCTCGAACTCTGTCATGCCACTCCCTCGGATGTCGACCGTATAGCAGCCATCCATCTAGCAGCTTTCAACGACAATGCTCTCCTCCACGCCCAGTTCCCCACCTCCGAGAGTCTCTCCGCATTGCAGTCTATTCTCGCCGAAGAAACGCTCCATGCGATCCAGCGGACTCAGACCACAAAAGCCGTCCTGGTTGTAAAGGATAAGGAGTTGCAAGAGAATCAGATCATAAGCTTTGCAAAGTGGGATCTGCCTACGGATCATGCAAAGCAGGTACTTCATGAGGGGATCACGTGGCCAGACGACTGTCAACAGGAATCGCTTGACCGGTATCATGAGTTGGCTGAGGCGGCCAAGGAGAGGGTTGTTGGGAAGGGCAAATGCTACCGTATGAGCCCTCGATGCTAGACGTCTTCTGTGTTTTCCCCACCTCGTCTCACATGTATTCGTCGTTCTCCTGAGGGTGAAGCTTCACCTTGCCCTCCGGTTTCCTGTTTCGGCGTTTACATATCTACTAATCTACGATATAGGCATGAATTTCGTTGGTACTGATCCTCGGTATCAAGGCCGTGGTGCCGGTACGATGTTGACGAAATGGGGGTTGTCTGCTGCCGAGAAAGACGGCCTACCAGTCTATCTTGAAAGTACAGTAGCAGCTTCATCCCTCTACCGACGTCTGGGGTTCGTTTCTCGAGATGGCCTCTCTATGGTACTGCCAGGGAACAGTCCGACTGGCGGACCCAATATATACGAAGAAGTATGCATGATCAAAGTTTGGCATGACTTGGAGTACGACCACTGGGACTCGAGTCTCAATATTTCCAGCTTAACAGAAGACCTTGGTATTGGCGTTCTACCTCAGACTGTTATCCAAGCAGTCTATGACCGTATCGACGCGTATAAGAAAGTGCAGCCGTCAGTCTGGCTGCATCTTCAGCCTATAGGCGAAGTGATGAGGGCGGCGAATGAGTTACATACACGGTTCAACGACGAAAAGAACAGGCCTCCACTATGGGGAGTCCCCTTCAGTGTGAAGGATAGTATAGATGTTGCCGGGGTACTAACGACTACTGGCTGTCCGGCACTGGCCTATATTCCGACAGTTTCGGCTTCGGTATATCAACGCTGTATCGATGCTGGGGCTCTGTTCATTGGGAAGACGAACATGGAACAGCTGGCCACTGGTATGACAGGATGTCGAAGTCCATACGGCACTCTACACTCGACATTCAGCAAATCGCATATCGTAGGCGGTTCGAGTAGTGGGAGCGCAGTCACAGTAAGCGAAGGGCTTGTATCGTTCTCTCTCGGAAGTGATACAGCCGGCTCAATACGAGTACCAGCGCTATTTAATGGAATTATAGGATTCAAGCCGACAAAAGGGACAGTCTCAGCGAGGGGCGTATCTCCGGCGTCTTTACATCAAGACTGTGTCTCCTTCCTCACGTCTACCATTGCAGATGCCGAGCGAGTTTGGGATGTCTGTAAAGGATTCGATACGGGAGATGTTTTCGCAAAGTTACCATGGCAAATCCGACCTGCCAAACAGCCAACTAGCCGGATTCGATTCCGCTTTGGGATTCCTCCTACAAGTGCGCTCGAAGTTTGCAGCCCTATGTATCGCCAAATGTTTACAGAAGTCGTCGATGCAATTCAAAGGGAAGGTGGGAAGCTAGCCGAGCTGGACTGGGCACCGTTCGACGCGGCCAACGAACTCCTTTACAACAGTACCTTCGTCCTCGAACGACTCACGATGCTCCCAGATGGATGGCTGGAGAAGAACAAACAGCTTCTGCACCCCGTCACCCGCCAAGTCTTCGAGAGCATGGTGGAACGTCAGACTACCAGCACTGCCGTTGATGTCTTCAAAGACCTACATAAACAGGCAGAATACAAGCGAGCAGTAGAGAATATCCTCACGCTCGAAGAGAATATTGAAGATGGTGTCGATGAGATGACGTTGATGATCGTCCCAACAGCACCGTTCCATCCGACTATTGAAGAGGTGGGCAGAGATCCGGTAGCGATCAATGGACGATTAGGCGCGTTTGCGCATTTTGCCAATGTGTTGGACTTGGTGGGTGTGGCGGTCCCTTGTGGGAAATATGAGATTGGAGAGGTGGTTGACGGCAGAATGGTGGAGTTGCCGTTCGGAGTCACGATCCTGGCCGGTGCTGGGCTGGACGCGCAGGTTGTGGAGGTGGTGAGTAGATTGGAGGAAAGACTTGGGGAGCTATGTTGGTGAGTAGAATGAGGGCTGGATAATCGTCTATTTGCACATTCGGCGAGGCCGTCATCGCTTAGTCCCCCGAAATTAGCGAGAGAGCTCGGCTCTCGATCGCGAGGATGTCAACAGCAAAGTGGGGGTGCTCGCGTCTACCTTCAAGGTGGATGTGAAGGCTTTTGGACAGCCAGTTGATCATCTGATAACGATATTCTTTCAAGACGGACCTCAGTGGTTGGCATGGTCAATGGATTGATCACCATACGTCTGTATCTAAGATCTGATAAATTTCAAAAATAAATGATTTTAATCATTTAAATCGTAGCTGAAATGGGATCGATTTCATCGATTTAATCATCGCTTGTAAGAACTCGTATTTTGTCAAAAGACCTGTCCTAAGATCATCTGCAGCATGTTGGGACCGTTTTAAGACCTATGGGACGGCCACGGGATGATCTCTCTGAATGGGACGGTCAAGGACGGTTTATTACCTAATCTATTCTAAGACGGGTTTTAATACTGATTTTAAGCGGTCTCATTGATAATCATCTCTTATGAAAGAGGATCACAGGACCATTGAAACGACCCCCTAATGTCCTTTATGGTATCGTTGACTGCAACTTTAGGGCTTGGATATGTGGAGGTCGCCTTTAATTAGGTCGAGGAGGTCGCTAAGCCAAGCATAAACTTGTGCACAGCGGAGGCCAAGGAGCCTCGTGGAGCCAGATTAGCGTCAAGTACTAATTTGGATGGCAGAACCATCTCGCGTGGCAGGATCGCACTACCAAAGTCACGATGTTAGACTGGATGTCCGGTAGAGTTACCTTAAAGTCAGGTAGGGGTTATTTCAATGGTCCTCCGACCCTCTCTTCTATAAGAGACGGTCATTGGATCGTTTAAAGTCGGTTCTAAACCCTATCCTGGAATAGTCCCCCGATTAGACTATCTTGTGACCGTCCCTTTGGAAGAGGGACCTTCCCGTGGCCGGCCATTCCATGGCCGTCCCCGTTCGGATTTGTAAAAACACGTTCATTAAGTAAGTCGTTGCAAATATATTAGACAGTCGATTAATCATGCTAAGAAAGATACTATTGAAATATAGCAAACACTTTTTCTAATGGTATCATTTTGATTATACTTCGTAATTCGGTTCTTAAACCGATTCGTGAAAATATAATTTGGTTTTCGTCATCTTGAATATTCGTGGCAAGATGTTTTTCGGTATCGCTACTTACTACTGTACAGTACTTACGGCTTGAACTTTAATGGTTTTAAAATCAAGTGGGGGCGGGGGGCGCCGGGGAGGAGGCAAAGTCAAAAAGATAAAGGAAGTAGCGAATTATCTGCTTACCTATAATTATCTGCCTACTAATATAAGTAAAGTTCTCTGGGAGGGTTTTCAGTTCAGGGACGGCCATGGGCCGGTCCCCAAAAGGGTCTCAACGATCGGAGACGGGTCCGAAGATGGTCTTTTCGTACAAAGACCGACTTTTGTAAACGACGATTTAATCGATTGAAACGGTTGTACTGTAGTAATAATATTTCTACGAAAAGACGGATTCTTATAAACGACGATTTAACAGATTAAACCGGTTCCATTTCAGCCACAATTTAAATGATTTAAATCGTTTGTTTTCAGACTCTATTCGATTCTTAGATATAGACCTGGGGTGATTCATCAGCCATGCCAACCTCTCAGGACCGTCTTCGAAAGAGATCGTCATCGGATGAGTAGCTGACCGTCTAAACAACTCCGTACCTGCCTTTACGGTAGGAATGAAGATATGCTATTTACCATTACACACTTAGTAGCTATGAAACCCTTACTACTAGATCTATAATCCTCACTGCCAACTACTGCCTTTAAGCTCACCCGGCTGAGCCTCTTCTTCTGCAAATGTATTTGTATCACTGAGTTGCGATTCTGGAAGGCGTGACGAGGTAGCTAGCTACAATATACTTGTGAAAACTTGCGATTGCTCTTGTGATTGCCGAAACGAATCGGGGGACTAGCGCTAACCTCAATATCACCTCTGCTGCCGGTACATCCTACCACGAAGGTCAATTTCATCTGGTAGTTTCACAAGGTCTTCCTGTGGAAAGTCTCTATTACGTAGAGAGTTTGTCAGCTTGTGAAGCTTAAGTTGCTCTCGTGATCTCGTCATCGTCGGACTTGTGCCCGTCACCGTCAAGATCCTGCAGGCTCTTGTTTGGCGGTTAAATTAAGGGAGGAAACTATACCAGGCAGCGGCGGGGAGGTGTAGGTAGCTGGGGATAGCTTCAGAAAAGCTCAAATGGGGGCGACGGTGAGGTTGAGCGGCGGTGATGTTCACGATATCGAGGTGGGCGGCAATTATGACGAGATTTACTAACGATTTACCATGTACTACCTTACTAGGTACTTACCTTTACTTACTGTGGAGCGCTAGGCGCGGTGGCAGCCTTGCCCTTCCTCTTGCACATTTTTATATGCAAGCCTTGGCGCCCTCGACTCAGTTCCGCTCCGTTCCGTGAAGACGACCTTCGATACCGTACGGTACTCTGAGGTTTAAAATTTAAATGAGTGAGTGCATGGCAAGCCGTGCGCGGTGGGGTCGGCAGGGTAGAGAAGCGAGAAAAAAAGATGACTCAGCCAGCAGAATCCAACGTCGTGTGAAGATTCTGATACTTGGCATTTCTGAGTCATCAATTCCTACCAATCGGCCACTTCTCGCCGTTGTCCGTCTCCACCACGCACGGCTTGCCATGCACTCACTCATTTAAAAGCAGAAAGTTCGGTACCTATACGGAGCCTCAAAGCTAGAATTTTAGGTGTCTTTTTTTTCTACAGTACGGAGGGACTTTCATTACTTTACCAGATTTACTTTGTCTGCGATCCAGGGGTTCATGCCAGTCGGATATAGCCTTCGCTCTGCCATCTGTCTGTACTCCGAACATTCCGAGGGCCAATCACATGACGACCCCTTGAACTTTTCATTATTTTTTTTTCCTTTTGGCTTATTCCGCTCAAACGCTGCGTATCCGTATTCGGTAGACGGATCACACTTCTCCACCATCCTCCATCCGAGCAAGCTTTTCTTTAACACAAGCAATGTTCCGCCCCTCCCTAATCTAATATTACCTAAAGTAACTCCCAGGTCCCCCCGATCCCCCCACCGGATTCTTCCCCCCACCAAGAGCCCCCCCCCCCCCCCCTTGTCGGTCTTCCCGCCAGCAGTACGGAGTGAGCAGTACCTACTACGTACGTAAGGTACCTACACAGCATCAGGCCAGCTGCTGACGTTGAACAACACACCCACAGCGCGGCGATAAGCCAGGAGGATTTAACTGGGTCCGTGGTTGGGCTGACAGGTCTCTATGTAGTACGTACAGTACCTAGTACTACCTAGTACTACCGGTACCACTACGACATCCACATCCATCCCATACCATTTTATCGAAATTTCCCCGGTCCCGACGAACCGGGGAAAGAAAGAAAGGGGGGTCAGTGGATGGATGATATTTGTTACGTATCCAATGACCACGGTGAGCGTTTGCTGGTGTCATCGCCCGTCATACTCTGTACAACTACTAGGTACTAGTAGCATTAGGCCCGGGATCCAAAACTTAGCCCATACCCCGCGGCGGGAGAGGAAGGGAAGGGGGGGGCGATGGGAAGGATGGGGCGAGGTAATGCCTGATGCCCGAAGTCAGCACGAATCGCGTTTAGCGCGCTAATGATCATCACGCATCACGATTAGGTCTTCTTATTCTTATTCTTATTCTTATTATTACTCTTATTATGACTCTTATTATTGCTACTACTACCACGATTATTATCAGCCCGACTGGTTTCATCAGTGTATTGACGCAAGGTACCTGGTACTTAGGTATTGATTTATCGATCTATCGATCTATTACTCGCTACCTACCTACCTTATCTATCGAGACCTAGGTTCCTATTACTCACTCCTACATACTTCTTACTTATCTTACCGCTTATCTTCTGAGGAGGTCAAGTTAAGCTCGCTCGCTCGCACGCAGTTCCTCTAACACCCCCCCGTTCTCTCCTCTGCTATACCCCCCCCTCTCCCACCAACGCCCACCACCACAGCAGTCAGTCCTCCAGACCGCAGACCGCAGGACCGCAGACCTGAGTGATATATACATGCTCACCTCACCACCCCGATCACTGTCAGCTTCAATGACGCCGAAAATCATCCACCACCTCCTTCTCCTTCAATCTCTCGCTGGGCCCTGTAGCAGTGATAACTGTCACTGATCAAGCTGATATCCCAATCCATCGTCGTCCGTTGGACCACTAACCAGAGGAATAAGGAAGGATACATACATACAGTAAGAGGCTCCCATATCTTTGCTCGCTGCTGCCCAGCCAGACCCCCCACCCCCTCCCCCCCCCCCCCCCCCCCCATACACGGAGCCCACCGCTGATAACGCAGGTGATCCATCACCGGCCCAACACCGAATCGAGCCTCACTACACTATGTCGAACCCGACCAACATCTCTCGGACGGAGCCCATTATCATAGCTTCTCGAAAACCTCGCCAGCTGGAACCATCCATCGAGACTCCGAACAGTCACCACCTCAACGGCGGAGCTCACCTGTCGTCAAGCATGAGCAGTACAGCTTCGGGGGATTCTGAAACAAATACCAGAAGTCCTACGGACAGGCCGTGTGATGCCTGTCGGAAACGGGACAATCCATGTGCGGTAAACGAGGGGCAGACGAGTTGCGTGCTCTGTCAATACCATAATCAGGATTGCACTCTTGTACAAAGTCCTCAGCCGCGGAAGAGAAAGCTTAATACGGAAGGGAAGGAAGAATCTGTGGCCAAGAGAAGGTGAGCTGTCAGGCTTCCGCCATGTTCTCTCACTGCATAGCCCACTTTTCCACTTTAATGGAGTCGCGGCCCATATATATGGTGGCAATCGCTAACTTGATATTGCTCACAGATCCCCGGATAGAACTGACGAGAGAAGAAGATATCCCACCGAGTCAAGTATCTCGAGTACGGGAGCAACGAATTCACTCATTGAAGAAATGGCCAATATTGGAGGACCGATACAACTAAAGCGAACTTTGGGCCTTCAGAACGATCGCCACAGCCAATACATCGGGCCAACCACCGACTTTGAGCCGTCGCTTATCGACTTGTCGCCTTTCGATCCCCAAGACGAGAGTCTCTTATCGAGAGGAACTTTGAGAAAAGTCAGCGACGTTGATACTTTCCTCATGCTTCCTGACTACACCACTCCTGGTTACGAGCATGTAATCGAAGATGCCGATGCTATCGAGGCCCTCGTTGCGCCTCATGGACCGGCACTCCTCGAGTTATACTTTCGAATCATTCATCCGTATTTTCCAATTCTCCAAAAAGTCGTGTTCTACCAAACGTACAACCGTTCGTACCGGGAGTTCTCCCCGGCAATTCTGGCTGCTGTCTACATCCTAGCTATAAATTGGTGGGATCACAGCGAGGAACTTGCCAATCAACCCAGGCCGGATATCGAAGAGTTAGAACGACTAGCCCGAGTCACCCTGGCCGACGCCATGTATCGACCCAAACTCTCCACCGTCCAGGCCGGCTTACTCCTTTCCCAACGGCCGGAGGGGGATCAATGGGCACCCACGGCTCAACTAGTCGCAATCGGCCAAGAATTGGGCCTCCATCTGGACTGCTCTAATTGGAAAATTCCTCCGTGGGAGCGCGGACTGCGCAAAAGACTGGCCTGGGCCTTGTACATGCAAGACAAGTGGGGGTCCCTGGTTCACGGTAGGCCCTCTCATATTTTTGCAACCAATTGGGCTGTGAAACGTCTATCGCCTAACGACTTCCCCGATTTCGAGGTCGATGAATCGGATGTCGAAGAGAGCACCGAGTACGAACGAGGTCGTCTCCTTTTCACACAGATGATCACTTTGTCTCAGATCCTGGCCGAAGTCTTGGATACATTCTTCACGCTACAGGCCATGGCAGCTGTCACCCAAGCTGATACCCACGGGACAAATCTCGTACTTCAACTCGCTAAGCCAGTCCAACTCAAGCTTAAAGAGTGGTTTGCAGCTCTCCCTCAGTGTCTACGCATGGAGTCCTCCGCAGCTCCGGCAAACAGCAAGCAACTCATCTCAACGGGCTCCCTCCACCTCGCTTATTTCGCCACGGAAATCACCCTTCATCGCCGTATCATCCGATCTCTCGCCCCGGGCACTGCCCCTTCGTCTCCAACCTCGCGAAATTCAAAACCAGCTCTCGATCCATACATCGTCCACATCTGTCGCAGCGCCGCCAAAACCCGACTGATATCCGCCATGGATTTTGTCAACCGTCTCACATCCTCTCACCTCCGCTCGTTCTGGTACTTTGCCTCCAAGGCAAATTTCGCTCTGATAGGAACTTTTGGCTCTTTACTCTGGGCCACAGCACCAGGTAGAGAGGAGGCAGAATGGTACCGGAGAAGATTAGGCGAGTACAGATGGACTCTCGGCGTATCCAGTAAAGGCGGAGGAGCTGAAGGCGGAGGCAATGCCCGGCTCACGGAATTCGCCATGGGTATGCTCGATACCTCCACGGGTCTACTCAATTCTCTTCCCGAGAAGCCAGCATTAAGCCGTGTCTGTAGCGAAGCCGATAATCTTGGGGCCCAGCATAGACAGAGGAGTATAGTCGAAGGCTATGGCTATGGATCTTTCAGTAACGCAGGGGGCTTCGGCATTGGTGCTGCGAGGAATGGCAGCGCTGGGCTTTACGGGCTCGACAGAGAGGGGGACGCGGATACCGGGCTCGCGATGAGGAGTGGGCTAGAGAGTGGAATTTCTAGCCCTGGTACGAGTGTGAGCTCGAGTGAAGAGAGTTCAAGTGCTCATGAGGCGTTTAATGCACCTCAGGCGCAGGAGGGGCATCGTACTAATGAGAGGTGTTGACAGAACCTATCTTCTGGATGGATTTAGGAATGTAATAGCTGTGTCACAGGGACACGCTAGATTTAGCATGGGATGGCGTTAGCTAGCAATGATAGGGAGTATAGGTAGTAGTAGCAGCTTTGTTTTAGCGTCTATTGCGGGTCTTTAATAAAGAGTCTGTCTTGGGACCTCTTGAAGGGGATACGGAGTATAAGGCACCTAGGCTCGGGCTGAACGATTTATATACGGATGGATTTCAAAAAGTATCGGGAAATGGTTTATGGTCGACCATATAAAACTTGAAGGCAGTTATTTAGAGCGGGGCTAAATCTCCCGGGGATATAATAATATTATAATCAGTTTCTCGTGTTAAACTATTTACATTCTCAATTGGCATTCTCTTGTTAATTGTATGTGTAAAAAGCAACATTCTGGTTGTTACTCTTTCGTCTTGCGAGTCTTGGATTTCCGTAGATGGCTAGATAGCTATCTGCAAGCTACCTTAAAAAGGCAGGTAGGGGGTCACTTGAAGGGTCCTATGACTTTCTTTGAAGAGACGGTTATTACGTAGAGCGTTCAAAATCAGCGCTAGCTTCAAATCAGGAATAGTCCGTTTACAAGACCGCCCCTAAGCAAGAGACCGCCGTCCCTTGATCGTGTTACAGCCGTCCTCGCCTAACTATTTAGAACGGATTAAACACGATCTACTTATTGACCGTCCAGATCGAGGTGCTATCATAATGTAAAGAACGACCCTTCTACGAATGATATTCGATCTCGATTACTAAACCCGATATTCATGCCAAGACATTCCTCGGTATCGCTACCTACCTTTCTTATCACCTTACGAGGACGTCAACGGCTTCGTCGATTTCAATATCAAAATCGGTTGCTTCGAGCGAGATTTGACCTAATTACCGTATGCAGGGCTTCCGCACGATTACGCGATAGGGAGGAGCGAAGGAAGGGGGGGGGAATGCAGGGGACCGAGAGATACTACGTACTACGTACTTACTTACCAATAAGCGATGAGATTATTCTGCTTATGGATAAGTACCTACTGTACTGTACTGTATCCGCTCTCGAGCAGGGGTTGAGGACGGACGGGCCCGGGACGGTTTTCTCTTCACGAAAAGATGGGACTCTTTTCTTACTGGGTATTGGAAGACGGAATGATCGATGAAGTCGGTTCTGTTCTTGCTACGGTGTGGAATCGCCGGAACCGTTCGCTATCGGGATGTTTATCTCTATCTTTCGGGTCTTGTGATGATGGGTGGGTAGGTAGGTAGAGGTAGGTAGGTAGGTCCCCTGACCGTCTTGAAGGTCAAGGACTACCTACCTACTACTGTACTATCTTCTTTGAAAGGGTCGCTCGGATTGACTGGTCTGGAGATCGCCTAGATAGCAATGAACCTTGACAGTTCTGGCTTTTTAAGGTATCAAGGAGCGGGGGAGCCGGGGTTATGGGGTGAAGTCAAAGTTGGATTTGGATTTGGATTTTTGCGGGAATGGGTTAGCTACGTAGTAGGTACTACGTACATTTAATCGCACCCCTCCCTGGTCGGAGTATAAAGTCAGAGAGGCAAGATGGCGCTTCGTAGGTACCTAGGTAGTTACCGGTACCTACTCTTCCGTGATGCGGTCATCTTCTCAACGATGCGGTTCAACGCTTTCGTGACTTTTCTTCCCCGCGCGATTAGTCAACAAGATTACAGACATGATAGATTTTTGATGCCGATGCGTAGTATAGAATCACTAGAGCTATCGCTCTCGGGATGTGTAATCTGTATATCAAACCGCGTATAGTTGCGATTCGATTTGCTGTTCTTCTTCGTTGATCTAGTGCGGAAATTCTAGGCTGAAACTTGTAGATTGTAAAACAAGGTTTGGCTGAAGAAAACATCCTCGTGTATACGTAATTGCGTGGGTATATCCTTCTTAATATACATATCGATCATCGAATAGAGAAGATTGATAAACGTGCTTTAATAGATTGAATGTAATGCGGTTGCGCCGCTATCATTCGGGTAGAGATACGAGGCATTTAAACTGGTCGGTGCTCTTGAAGAATTACGAATTTATAATCATCGATTAACTTATTATTACAATATGGTATTGGAAATCACGATGCATATATGTTGTTGTTATTGTTGTTGTTATTGCATTTATTAACGTCGGGCGGGTATCCAAAACGCAATGCTTAAACCTTAAGGACCTCTTATAAAGTACGGCGACGTGCTAAATAAAGGAATTATATATAAAGTATTATTTAATCGAGAGTAAAAACTACGTTAAGGAAAACCTCTCGTTAAATCGTTAAATATTTGTAAACCTTTTAAAAGCAATTCATAATGCTTTGCGTCGAGTTTTCTTTCGACAATTATCGAATGCGTATAGCTTTACGAGCGGCCTCGATCCGTATAATACAAATATCGTTTTCTTTCGTCGTAAAGCTAAAAAGGCTCGCGTTCGTAGCTTTTAAATAAAGCCGGTGTGTTTGCAAAACGCTTTTTCGAAAGCGCATTACCGTGTTTTCGATAAATCGAATTAAGCCTTTTCTATTCTATCTTTTATTTACGTTCTTTTTTTATCGCAAGTCTTTTTATTCTTTTCAATCGATATGCTCGTTAAATATAAATCGTAATCGGCATAGTATTCGAAAAGAAAAAGAAAAGAGGTTCGGAATCGCCGGTAAAAGAAAATCTTTTCGAATAGACGTCGCATATCGATAATTCAATTTCGGCTTTTTAAACTCTTTATTTCTCTTTCTATCGCAAGAGAAAGAAAGAAAAAAAAAAGAGCTGAAGATTCGTAAGGGGCACCTCGTACAGATAAAGAATCGTAGCCCCCCGATGCATGTATATATAAGGCTAGCAGTTACGAATTATTAGAAGGTTACATATCATTGTTTATAGTTATTAAGTTATGTTATTTGGTTGTTCTTAGAATGACGCTACGGCTGTGAAGCGGTAGTATAATAATAGCTACTAATCAGTACGCTTGGTAATATAAAAGAGAGACGAGGGAGGAAGAACTACCATAAAGGGTAGTAGGAGGTCATTTGAACGGTCCTCTGATCCTCTTTTATAAGAGACGGCTATTGGACCGCTTAAATTCAGTACTAAGCTCTTTTCAAGAATAGTTTATCGAAAAGACCGTCCTATTGAAAGAGACCGTTTTGTGGCCGTCTTATAGCCGTCTTCGTTTATATTTTTAAAACAGGCTTATTAATAAGCTCGTTTTAAAAAATTGAAATAATTCGATGACTATTTTAAAGAAGATATAGTTATAGATAAAAATGATCTTTTAAATAAAATTGTTTAAATAATAATTTAAAAAGTTCGACGCTAAGATATTTCTCGGTATCGCTGCTACGGCTTGTATATTAACGCTTTAATTTTTTTATAATCGAAATCGATCGATTTAGCAAAAGTTTACCCGCGTACAATGGCCGCCCTTGCAGCCTACGCAAGGAGGGGGTGGTGATATAAGGGGGGAGTAGTATAGAAGGGGAGTGTAGTAAGTGGTTAAGGTAGTAGAGGGTAGATTAGCAAGCATTAAAAGGGTATTTGCTTACTAATTCAAGTTCTCAAGGACGGTTTTAAGCTTAGAGACGGCCATGGGACGGCTATAGGACGGTCTTAAAACGCTCGAAGACGGTCCTAAAACGGTTTTTATACGAAAAGACGAGTATTTAAAAAAAACGGTTTAATCGAATAAAATAGTTTTATTTTAGCTACGATTTAAATATTTTAAATCGTTTGTTTTCAAATACTATTTAATCTTAAGTATAGGCCTAGGGTGATCCACTAGCTATGCTAACTTATTAAAATCGTCCTTAAAAGAGATGGTTGTCGGACGATCAGCTGACCGTCTAAATGCTCCTGCATTCCCCTTTAAGGTACAATATACGCAGTAAGACCGAGGATATACCGGTATGCATCCCCGGGAGCGGGATATCACTTGACCTCGGCTGACTAGCCCGGCCTCAACCCTCAGGACCTTCCATGCCAGGACCGTAACAAATAAAAGGTTATTCCAAGGGCGCCGATGAGGTTGGAATACGAATGACTATAATTGCGTTCCAAAACTCCATTGACTCTTAACTATTTCCCCGAAGCAAGTCTGATATTAAAGGACGATATTATATTTCATTATTAAAATTTTCTATTAAAAACTACGTTTGAAATTTTATATTGCAATAAAAAGAGCCCAAAAGTTGTCCCTGTCACTTCCTCCATACCTTAAAGGCAAGTAAGGGGTTATTTAAACCGTCAGCTGATAATCCGATCACGGTCTTTTTTTTTAAAAAAAAAAACGGCCTTAAAAGTTTAGCATAGTTACCTTAAAGGGGAATGCAAGAGCATTTACACGATCAGCTGATCGTCCGATAACCATTTCTTTTAAGGACGATTTTAATAAGTTAGCATGGCTGGTTGTTGTTATTGTATTTATTAACGTCGGGCGGGTATCTAAAACGCAATGCTTGGACCTTAAGGACCTCTTATAAGGTACGGCGACGTGCTAAGTAAAGGAATTATATACAAAGTACTATTTAATCGAGAGTAAAAACCACGTTAAAGAAAACCTTTCGTCAAATAGCTAAACACTTGTAAAACCTTTAAAAGCAATTCATAATAATATGCATCGAGTTTTCTCTTAACAATTATCGAATACGTATAGCTTTACGAGCGGCCTCGATCCGTATAATACAAACATCGTTCTCTTTCGTCGTAAAGCTAAAAAAGTTCGCGTTCGTAGCTTTTAAGTAGAGCCGGTATGTTTGCAAAACGCTCTTTCGAAAGCGCAGTACTGTGTTTTCGATCAATCGAACTAAGCCTTCTTTATCTTATCTCTTATACACGTTCCTTTTTTATCGTAAATCCTCTTGGTCTTTTCAGTCGGTATGCCCGTTAAGTATAGATCGTAGTCAGCGTAGTATTCGAGAAGAAAGAAGAAGAAGGTTCGGAATCGCCGATAAAAGAAAAATCTTTTCGAAAAGACGTCGTATATCGATGATT